TCTCCTGTGAGCAGCCGCTTGGTGTTGTTCTGCCTCTTTCGCTGCCTCCCTTTCTTTCTCCTTTGCCTCCATTTCTTTGTCCTTTGCCTCCATTGCTCTCCTGTGAGCAGCTTCTAGAGTTTTTTCGGTTGCTTTCATTGTCTCCAGTTTGGCTAACTCCAATTTGTGTAGTGCCTTGGTGCCTGACATCTGTACCTCTCTGTTTTTAACTAACTTTACACCCGAGGTTTAGAAATAAACAAACAAAACTTGGCTGTAAAATTTTGCTGTGCTGGAATAGGATACCTATTCTCTGATAGTGATTGTCAGCCTACAGAAAAAGACAATTCCCTTGTCTCTGCTCTGGGCCCAAATCAAAGCAAAAAACCTCCAACTACTTGGAAACCTGCTTACCAGCAGCCCAAAGGGAAAAAAAAAATTCCTTTTTAAACTTGTGCTCCTTGTAAAAAATCAAAATCCCCCCCAAAAAAACCCTGCCTTTTTTGTCTCCAGGCAAATGGGTAGAACACCCCTCCCCTCCATTTACTTTTAGGGGGAAAAAAAAAACCTCTGGGTTGGAAGACTGTGAATTTCCCTGTAGGAGTTAAGTACCCTGCCTCCAGGCAAAGAAAACCTGCAATTCACAAAGATAATCCCCTTTTGTCTCTGCTTGGCCACAAAGCAGAGAAAAAAGAAGCTGCTTTCAGTTTCAGCTGCTTTCTGGACTTCCTTTCCAAAGGAAAAAAAAATTTCCTTTTTAAAATCTGTATTTCTAGTTCAAAAAATCTCAACTGGATCTCAAAATGATTTCAGGTTAATCCCACCATGTCAAGGTTCCTCCCCCACTCTGAACTCTAGGGTACAGATGTGGGGACCTGCATGAAAAACCTCCTAAGCTTCTCTTTACCAGCTTAGGTCAAAACTTCCCCAAGGTACAAAATATTCCACCCTTGTCCTTGGATTGGCCGCTACCACCACCATACAAATACTGGGTACTGGGAAGAGCTGTTTGGACACGTCTTTCCCCCCAAAATACTTCCCAAAACCTTGCACCCCACTTTCTGGACAAGGTTTGGTAAAAAGCCTCACCAATTTGCCTAGGTGACTACAGACCCAAACTCTTGGATCTGAGAACAATGAAAAAGCATTCAGTTTTCGTATAAGAAGACTTTTAATAGAAATAGAAGTAAATAGAAATCACCTCTGTAAAATCAGGATGGTAGATACCTTACAGGGTAATTAGATTCAAAACATAGAGAACCCCTCTCGGCAAAACCTTAAGTTACAAAAAAGATACACAGACAGAAATAGTTATTCTATTCAGCACAATTCTTTTCTCAGCCATTTAAAGAAATCATAATCTAACACATACGTAGCTAGATTACTTACTAAAAGTTCTAAGACTCCATTCCTGGTCTATCCCCGGCAGAAACAGCACATAGACAGACACACAGACCCTTTGTTTCTCTCCCTCTTCCCAGCTTTTGAAAGTATCTTGTCTCCTCATTGGTCATTTTGGTCAGGTGCCAGCGAGGTTACCTTTAGCTTCTTAACCCTTTACAGGTGAGAGGATTTTTTTCTCTGGCCAGGAGGGATTTCAAAGGGGTTTACCCTTCCCTTTATATTTATGACACTGACAGTGTCTAATAACTATTCTTAAATAGAGAAAGTTTATGTAGTGGAGATAATCAGGACGTGAACTGAAAATGAACCTGGAGGGTTGTTTTTTGTTTGAGAAGCAATGCTGAATGTAACTAGCAAAGGTCAATATGAATCCTTATCTGAAACTTAATATTCAAGATGTTATATGTTTAAAATTAAAACTTTTTGGAGTTATAAATTATATGTGAACAGAAAATAACCCTAAACATTTTAATAAATGATACTACTACTATGGTAAATTACAACAACAACACAGAAAAAGTTTTGATGGAGCATAGTAAACACACTTTTAATAAAAATCTCATTTTTGATTCTTTGAAATGCTAGTAGCAGTAACCAACAAAGAATTAGAGTCCTGTCTGAACTAATGCAAAAGAGACTACAGTTTAATTGGCAATCATGTCAGTTAAATATATTGGCAGTTCATCTCATGTAAATGCCAGCATTAAAAAAATAGGAAATGGAATTTTGAAACCAAAAATTCATGATGCATTTTCAGAGTGGATTTTTATTCTGAGGTAGAATTCTCCCCATCTGCCACCCTAGGACATTTGAAATAGATGTTCCCCCTTGTTACTTCTGTGTTGCTTAAATGTTTTCTCATTATATAGGTGTTTGAGAATATCCTGTCTGTCCCCATGCTAGGCTGCTTTTCGTTTGTATGTGGGGAAATTGGGATTTGTGAAAAACAAGTGTTCTAACAATGAAAATGCTTTTATGCCTTTATAACAGACTGTTTTTTCACTACAACACATTTTTCAAAGTATTTACTGCACAGCAGAGTTTTTCCAGTCTAACTTCAGAGACAGTGATACTGCGATTTAATTATACTTGACCAAAACTTCAAAGTATTTTTTCAAGTTGTGGAAGTTTTATTAATAGTTTGTATTTACCACTTAACATTTCTGATAAGCTAAACTTGTATTTTTATTCTTCTCTAACTTTATTGGCAAGACATTACATTGGGAAAGGGTGACCATTATCAAAAAAACAACCCTTCCCAACAGTTGTTTTTGGGCTTTGTGTGTTAAGAATTATGTGGGTTTTAAAGCTGTACAATGATGTTAAAAATCTTTTAAAAACTATATGTTTATAATGTAGAATAAGTGCTTTTGCTATGTACTTCAAAAATGAAAAATGACTGACTTATACACTTCGAAATAGTCAGAGTTTCTGTAACCCAAACTCAAAACCTTCACTGGGGAACCAGATTGTTGAAGCACAAAACAGCTGCAAGTTAGGTGAGTGTACATGCGGGATCATGGATGTGAGCTGTGCTGGTTTTAACAGTCAAGGCGGCTAAGGCAGAAGTTCACACCTTCTAGCTGCTGTGTAGACATACTCATTCACAGTGCTTCCCAATAGGAGGAGCAGAGTGCACTCCTGCTGAAGCTCCATAAAGCTCTGACAGATAGGGGTTCATCAGAGAACGGCCATGGCAACTGACTTTTCAGCTGTCTTAGCTCTGCTTGAGCCAGCATGCTAAAATAGCACTGTGGCTGCGGTGGCAAGGGTAACAGCTTGGTCTAGCCACCTGATTACAGTCCTCCCTGGCCCCGGATATGTACTCATGCAGCTAGCAAGAGCCACTGTCGGTGCCATCAGAGCCACGCTGCTATTCTAAGCATGCTAGCTCCAGCAGAGCTTGAACATGTATGCTGTGTAGACATACCCTCCCAGCTGCTGTGTAGACATACCCTTGTAGACAAGGAACTTTGCTAGAGCAGGTATTGTAATTTACACCTTGCTATGCCAACTTTGCTAAATTTGGTCCATGGTATTACACAAGATCACCATTTAAAAAAATAAATGTTTTCAGCACTAAGCAAACGGTCAAATGGAGCTGTTTAATCTTCATATGTGTCTGAAAAGGATGCTGTTAGGTTTTTCAAATTGTTGATCTGCTACTCTTCCATCTTCAATCTATGGATCTATTGTTTGAAATCACTTGTCTATTTGTAAACTGATTGAGCCCGTAAAGTTAATGAAAAACTCGTCTACTAATTTCTTGAAAAATGTGATTCTGGCATTATTTCTTAGCTAAGTTTTGTAGTATAGCTTTTACATTGTAGGCTTTCAGAACTGTCTGAATGTAAGAGGTTTTTAATATATCCTTTCGGTAAATATTACATCCAGATGCTAAATCTAATTCACAGGAGAACACACTCTTCTGGGAACAAGGCATACGGCAGACACATGTTCAAGGAGGAACCCACACAATATGTGGCCATATTTATATAAGTTAAATACAGACAATGTTCTGCAGAAGTTCAAATTTGGAAAATCTCTCCCACGGGCCAAATTGTGCATATACGTCTGTAGAAATCACAGGGAAAATTTTGACACGCACAAAAAACTAAACCGAAAGAAAACAAACTACCCTCCACCCCCAAACAACCTCTTCCTGTGCTTTCATAGGGCCAAAATCTGGACATTGTATAAACTGTACAAAATGCAGGCATGTAAATGTGGAAGAAGTATATGCACCCTATTCTGACTTTCATCAGTCACCTGCACAGATTACTCATTTTTCCTATCTAGAATTATTTGCTTGTTCACGTGTCCATACTGTTGCTGTGTAAATAGATGCAGAGAGACCGTGTTTCCTAATCCATAGGTCCTGTCCAAGAATACTTCTCCATTTTGTATCATGGAGGTTCTGTGGAACAGCCTATCAATAGTTTATGTAGGGGAAACTATAACTGAAATAAACAACTTCTGCCTTATGTGCCCTCTTCTGAGTGCTGGTTTTCTGGCAGATGTCTGTGTACAGTGGCCTGTTAAAATTTGGCTGATATTACTGAAAAGATCTGCCAAAAAAAATCATCAAAAGTGTAGAATTTGGCCTCAAGAATGCATTCACCACAGCCAAATTGTTGTCCATAACAAAACAGTCGCAGACACTTTTTAGGATGTGGACAATTGAGACAAAGTAAATTGTTATGGATAACAAAGCAAACTGTTTTGTTATGGAGAAGGCTGTCGCAGCCATGACACAAACAAGGGTGTTTTTTTTTCCTTTTTTTTTAAAGCCATTCTGACTACTAACTGTGGCTGACCAACTACACAGCAAGCCTGTGATGTTAATTTGTAGAAAAAATTCAATTCCGTCCATGTGTATTGTAATTGACTATATTTTTGAAAATAGTCTGTTAGGTAAATATTAAATAGTGTTAAACAATTTAATTGTAAAATAAAGAATATTTAACTTCATTCATAATTTCCCTTACAAAAAGCTTTAATAATAATTAATTTATTGTGTGCCATGAGTTGATGGCCATCCTTAATTATGGTCTTCTGTAAAGTTGCTGCATATTCAAACACTTTTATGAGTTCCGACTGATGTCTTTATTTTGCAGGAAATGGTAAACTTTACATGTTTGGCAGCAATAACTGGGGCCAGTTAGGACTAGGAACAAAGAATACTATCAACAAGCCAACTTGTATAAAAGGTTTGTCTTATTTTCTTCTTTGGCTTTTTGATAGATGGCTTGATGAAAAAGTGATTTATAGTATCAATTTCCAAATTAAATACAAGGTCCCTATTTGATCTTCCGTCACCTCACGATTCTAGGTCTTATGGATTTTGAGGACTACTCAAGATACACAGAATCTGATCTTTTTGGATACCCGTTAAGAATTCCCATTCAGTGTCATCTGTTTCTGTCCAACTCCATTCCATGTGCAGGGAAGTTATTGGACGGTTGATCTCTGAAGTGCTGTTTGGTGCTTAGACAGCAAGAGAGAGTATCATTATATGTATGCATTGTTGTTTTAGCCATGTTGGTCCCAGGATATTAGAGGGACAAGGTGAATGAGGTAATATTTTTCATTGGACCAACTTCTGTTGGTGAGAGATGCAAGCTTTCAACCTTACACAGAGCTCTTCGTCAGGTCTGAAGTTGGTCAGACCTCACCCACTTTGTCTCTCTAATATCATTATATGTAACCTTCTGCCAATGCAACCCCTGACCGAGACCGTCTCATTATCTGTCCTACTACTTTTTGAGCAAATATGAGAAATACCTGAAGGTATCCCAAAAAAGCAGAGCCATTAATGGATTCACCCACACCCACTATACACATAATTAAATAAAGAAGGAATGAAATAAATACCCATGCACTTTTACAGATTATGGAATTTGTCATTCCATCACAAACTCTTACAGTTTCTCCCAGCCAGCTCTACCTTCTCTAACAAATCAATAATTCCTTCCCCATCAAAAAATTTATTCTGTCAGTTCACCCCATTATTATCAGTACATCATTCTCCACCATCAAATCCATTAACTCCCTTCCTCTCTCTCATCAGATATGTTCAGTTGCCCATCATCAAATACAAATTATTCAGTCTGTTCAAACCCTTTTCATCCAGGAATCAGTCAATTCTGCCCCAAACATCTTTCCAGAGCCCTTTGCTGCTTCTGTTCCTCTCCTTCTACCTTTTTCAGGCTGACGACAGAGGGGAGAGCAGGATCACTGGGATCTTCACCTCCTCTGTCAACAGCCATGTGAGGATATGGGATTGGTTCTTGCCTCGGCTAAGATAGCGTGGGAGCTCTCCCTTTGCTTCTGCTCTCAGACTATGGTAGGCAATGGAAAGAGTGAGGAGAGCCCAGAACAGAGCTCCTTCTTTTAGGAAGCGGGGGGAGGGCTGGGAGAAGGGCTAGACAGGACAGTTTCTTCACTCTCCTTGGCAGTGGCCAGCTGTGGAAAGGACTCATGGTGACTCCAAGATGGTGACAGCTGGCTATGGAATGGGATGGCAACAATTCCCTGCTCAAGTCCTGCTTGGGGCCAAGCAGCAGTCGTAGCATGTTGCTGTTGCAATCCTGAGAAAGTGCCTTCTTGGGCTTGCCCAGGAGCAGATGATCCTTGTGGGGAAGTGCGGGTAAACTCTATCAGTAATGCCAAAACTGTCAGCCATGTTACAGGCACTGTGTAGCAGGGCTGATATACCGAGGTGCCATACATCTGGTTGCTGTGGGGATACTCCTGGCCTTACAGGCTATAGATGGCACACAGCAGATGGAGGAGGTACATATGGGGAGAATGCAGGCTTCTGAAGAGCTAATTCAGATAATCTCCATACCCAAAAGAGGCAGAATGTAGGGTTTTCTGCATATGCTCTGTGATCCCACAGTACTTCCATTTTTTTTTCCAGGTGCAACAAGTAAAAGGGCTCGGAAGAGCATGGCGATTTCTGAGTACAGTAGAACCTCAGAGTTATGAGCACTCTGAAATGTTCATAATTCTGAACAAAACATTATGGTTGTTCTTTCAAAAGTTTACAACTGAACATTGACTAATACAGCTTTGAAACTTTACTAGGCAGACGAAAAATGGTGCTTTCCCTTTTTTATTAGTGGATTACGTTGAACACAGTACTGTACTGTATTTGCATTTTTTTTTGGTCTCTGCTGCTGCCTGATTGTGCACTCCAAGTTCAAAATGAGGTTATGTGGTCGACTGGTCAGTTCGTAACTCTGGTGTTTGTAACTCTGAGGTTCTACTGTATGGTGTCGGTGGGTGTTGGGTGGAAAAGGGTCCAGAGCAGGGAGGATTTGTGTTTGTGTGGGAAAGTTCTAAGCCTGGGGTGGGAGAGGGTTCAGAGTTGAGGGGGTAAGTCTGAGCTGTGGAGTGACTGGGTAGAAAGTGGAAGGACCGTCAGTCTGGCAGGATGGAGATGTTTTGGAGCTGGTGGAGGTTGGTTTGTGGGGAGCTTGAGAAGGGTCTGAAAAAGGAGGGAGATGCCCTAGGGTGGCAGGATTGAGTGCTGGGGGAAATCAAATCAGTTTTGAATGAGTATGGGTGTATTGCTAGTGGGTGTGTGGACGTGGTAGAGAGAAACAGTAATAAGGATAGTAGGATAAGTGGTAAATAGGTTGTAGGGGCAGAAATTGGGAAGTAGAGAGAAGGTGAGAGGTCACACGGATAAATATTTTTCTCTATTTCTGAAATGGAGAGGAGTTACTAGAGGAGAGTGGATGCCCGTTTTTCTTCCCTCTTTTCTTCGAAAACACTTCCCTGTGACTAGCCCCTTCCCCCACACAGGGTCCAATTTTTCACTTCAAAAGCACTAGGGAGGGATAGAGGAAGAATGAGTGTGTTGCTGGGTGCATGTGCACGGTGGTGGGTGTAAAGGGAGGTTGCTATCTGCAGCCACACCGCTTATTCTGGGCACTAGCCCACAGTAGGCTTGCCACTAACAGCTGGTGATTACGCTGGTTAATGTGACCAGTTGAGAGGGTGATATAGAACATGACAGCCAGGGGGAGAGAAGAACAATAGAGAATTGGTATGTGGGGGTGAAAAGTTAGGGGAGTAGGAGGCAACAGAAATGGGTGATTATAAGGACACAAAATGGAGGGAGAAGGAAAATAGTGGGTTAGTAACACCATTTAAGTACTGAAAATTGGAGCAAGTGCCATCCATATAGTCGCCAGTTCAACTTGCTGCATTCTGCTGAGGGTTACCTTACCATGGTAAGATGTGGTCTCTGGTTGACTGGAATATTAGCACTCATGCAGTTAATATGAATGACAGCTACAAGCATTTGGGGAATCTTTCTATTTTTGTTTACCAAGGGGTGATTTTGATTGACACATTCTTATGAAATAAAGAGAAAAGTTATCTTAGAGTGTTCAGTTTATATTGTAAGTTTACCTGCTGCTGGTAAAAATATGAAAAGAGCAGATGGCTATATTCAGATTGCAAAATGTTGTTAAACAAATGTAACTATCAACCTGTTTGTAAACTTATTCTCTGACTTTAATTCATAGCTTTAAAACCAGAAAAAGTTAAACTTGCTGCTTGCGGGAGAAACCACACTTTAGTTTACACAGGTATGTAATCTACATTATTTGCATACTAGGTAAATATTTAAGGCAAAATTCTGCCCTGGTTTTTATGCATAGTTCTAATTCTGTAATGGGAGCCCACTATGTGCATCTAGGGGAAAAACATCGCAGTGAAATGGGGAGGAGTTACTAGAGGAGAGTGACAGGTTTCAGAGTAGCAGCCGTGTAAGTCTGTATCCGCAAAAAGAACAGGAGTACTTGTGGGCTTAGCCCATGAAAGCTTATGCTCAAATAAATGTGTTAGTCTCTAAGATGCCACAAGTACTCCTGTTCTTTTTAGAGGAGAGTGAATGCCCCTTTTTTCTTCCCTCTTTTCTACCAAAACACTTACCCATGACTAGCCACTTAAACCACTTGTCATGCATTCTGTGCTCTGCATTCCTGAAATAACTTTTCCATGCCATGGTGTTTGTAAAGGAATTATATATAGGAGTTTGCAAACAATAGCCAGCTTGAAGAATTTCCTCCTGCCTTATTTTGATCTGAGGGTAACAATTTTATATAACTTCAGAAAAGGTCTGGATATGCAGCAAATATCTTTTAGAACCCTCTTCTAGTCTTCCTAAAAGGCAATATGCTCTGTCTCCCACTGTTGGGTTTGAGAAATTGGTTTGCTAAGCTTTAGAAGTTGGCACTTTCATTTTACAGAGACAATATGCAAGGATTGACATGTTTTTAAAATTTGTAGAAAGGAACTATCCTCCATATGGCACCAATCTTTGGAGCCTACAGTGATGTGAAGAGAGTGGTTGATTTGCTAAGGGTTTAATATCTGTGTGAACTCAGGATATAGTAAATTATTCTTACAATATAACAGAACACTTTAATAAGGATTGACTATAGTAAATTGAACAAGGTACAGATTTACAACTTGAAACAGGTATTGTGGCTGAATAATTTTTATGACCACCATTAACATTTGTAGTTATGTATGTTAAGATAACATTAAGGGTAATTAAAACTCATGCTTCAGGGCACAAGCTAATTAACCCTGGGTTAAGAAAGAAATTATTTCCCCTGCCCTTTTTATCGTGTTGTACACCTGGAAGCATCTATCTATCTATCTATCTTAGGTACTTATATGGCCCCCATCACCATAGTGTCTGAGTATCTCACAAACTTTAATGTATCTATCCATCACAGTACCACTGTGAGATAGGGAAGTACTATTATCTCCGTTTGACAGCTGGGGAAATGAGACACTGAGAGGCTAAGTGACTCACTCAAGGTATCACAGGAAGTGTGTAGCAGAGCAGGGAATTGAACCCACGTCTCAAGTCTTAGCCTACTGCCCTCACCACTGGACCATCCTGCCTCTAATGGAGTTTCTTTGCCTTCTTCTGAAGCATAAGGTGCTGTTTACTTCCAGTCGGAGGATCCTGAACTAGATGGACTATTAGTTCAGACTGGTATGACAGATCCAATATACTGTAACTATTTTGAGGAGATGTATCTGAAAGAAATGAGAACTGTCAAATGATAATTGAAACAAAAAGGTTTTAGATTACAAAGTGTTAGAACATGTACAGTAATAGTGTACATGAGATTTTGTTTTTTTTGAAATTTTACAATACGGAAAAAATTTGCAACACAAGAAGTACAATACATAATGTAGCTACAATAACTATAGTAATTGATAAAAACTGCTGTGTGTGAGCTAAGTATTATTAAAGCAAGAATATATGTGAACAGTATTTTTTCCAAGGTAGTGGTATAATTAGAGATGGAATCTTTTACCTCTGGGTTACCCCTCACCTCCTTCAGATCCACCTTCAAGATTCTCTTCTGCTGTGATGCTTACCAGAAATCGGCCAGATTGGCTAAGTCAGAAACAAAATCAATGCGTTCCTAAAACACTTGGGTGCTTTTGAAAATCCCACGTATGCGTACCTAATTATGGGTTTAGGAACCTAACATTAGAGTCCAGATTTTTAAGAATTTTGGTCTCCGAATGCATAACAATTCATAATAACAAAACAAAAAGCTCCACAAAGCCCATCACCTAATACTTTTAAATGATTAAGATCCAGGGTAAAGCAATTAAAGAAAACACTTAATTTTTTAAAAATTATTAAATTTGATTGACTATTTGTACAACTAATTTGAAGAACGGTGCTATTGCAACTTTATGTTAACATTTATAATTAACTAAATTTAAGCTTTTTAAACAAAATGCCACTACTAGTGGGCTCTCGTTTGAATTTTACAAAACTGCTATAGGCACACACGAAAGAAACCCTGACAAAAATTTGAAAATTAAGGCTTTTATCATGCAAATCCTTAAGTGGGTATATTACTTTGCTGTATGCGTGGTTCTGCTGACTTCAGGTGGACTACTCATATGCTTAAAGTTAAGCACGGGCATAAATGTTGCAACATCAGAGGCTAAATCTGTATTTTTAATAATTTTTCTTAGTGGCATAAAATCTCTGTCACTTCAAGACAAAGTTGTTACATTGTTAACCCTGGCGCAAGTTATTGAGTCTTTCAGTACATTAGTGGTGTTATTGTGAACTGTTATGTCCGCAGAGATCAAAATTCTTAAAAAGTAGGAGCCTAATACCAGTTTCCTAAACCTACATGTAGGCACCCAGGTGTGGGATTTTCAAAAGCACCGAAGTGCCTTAGGAGCTCAAGTCATGTTGACTTCAAACAGCAAACCTTGATGGATGAATACAGCCTGGTAAAGCATTTCAGGCTGTACTTGTCTTGTGGAGGTTCAACACATTGGAAGAGGGTGGCTGGAAATATAGCTTATCAATTTTGTGTTTGATTTTTGTGGTGTTCTTCTGCTAAAAGTGTTAGCGAGGCCCTGGGCTAGTCTCTTTTATCACAGATGAGCATTTTAAATATTAAACTCTTTAGTAGAAGACACACAAACTCTGAAATTATTTTAATTAGGAAGCTAAAGAAACAAGTACAAAACATCAGCTTTGCCAATTTAAAACTATATTGAGAAAAATATAGAGCTAGCAACAAATAAATAAAAATCTGATTGAAATAATAGTACCTCAGTCTTATAGCACTTTTCATCAGTAGATGTCAAAGCACTTCAGAAGGAGGTCAATCTAAAAAAATTAAGTAAGAATGATTTAAATAAAAATTTTTAAATTAAGATATTATTTTTATCCACCCTGTTCAAAATCATCAAGCTATGTACATAACTAATTAGGTGATTTTAATATTGTTACCATGGCCATGCCTCCCCATTTGCCTCCAGTTTTGTCACACTTGCTTATTATGTTTTGTCTTAAAGTAGATTGTAAACTATTGACTGTGTCTTTCTGTGTGTGTGCATAGCATCTACTACAATGGGCCCCCAACACCGGGGTGTTTTATTGTTATCACAATGCAAATGAATAAGAAACCAGTCATACAACTTAATTCATTAACTAAATATGTCCTTTTTTGGATAGCATATATTTTCCCAGTTATTTGTAAATGGACTGACCAGTAGTCCATGGCTGTATACCAAGTAATATGTTAAACATCTTTGTAATGCTGCTCCTATATACAAACATAATTTTATTATATTTTAAAATCCAATAAAAATTGCTGAGGTAAAGTTTAGCTGTAGGTAGAGTCCAACATAAAGCCTGTGCACCACTTATGCCCTTGAAATAGAGTTTATCTGGGATTTAAGGGTTGCAAAGGTCTTTAATAGCTCTCTGCATAAAGCTGAATTTTACCTATAGTGATTTGTAGTCTTCAGAGGAACTTGGCCTGCTGCAAAATTAGGGTAAAAAAATGTATCTTGTGTTTCTCAGTTGGGGAATATTCCTTGTGATTCCTGTGTAACACCTGCGTTACTTTCATATACGTTGTAACGTCTGAGTTTTTCAGTTTTTTTTCAGAGCAGATTAGATTCTCCTGATATCCTTCCTGTGTTTTAAATTTTTAATGTAGTGTGTCTTGAGGGAGAACTAAATTTATAAATATCTTTTTTTAACCTTTTATGTACAAGCAACAGTCCAACTGGGAAATGTAAAACTCTTTTTATGTACATAAATGATAGAGAAACAAAATCTGATGTACCAGAATTGAAGAAAACAATCATAAGTGACAAACTTCACCCTAATTTTAGCTCGTTACCAAAAGGCTCTTTTTTTAGTTTTCCATTTATCTATAAATTGCCTTTGGTAACCTGGACTTTCCAGCAATTACTCAGTCTGCAGATATTTTTAAGTTAAGGCTCTTCCAAGATGTCTTCATGTCTCTTGAGCTCTAAAAGAACTCCAGAGTATGTAGAGTTCCTTCACTTTTGACATCTGTCTCCAAGCTGAGGGAAAACCCAACCTTCTCTAGATGCATGTGTATTCTAAAATGGAGAGGAAGATTGTTAGAACTTCCCCATCCAAAAGTGCCCAGGAAAGCTTCCTCGGGAGTTACAGCAGCAATTCATAATATCAGTGTTAGAATATTTTAGGACAGCTTAGCACAGCTTTCCTGCAATACTTTTTCTGTAGGAAGAAATTGAGCTCAAACTTTCTGATTTGCTGTCACTTACTCTACGTATTACATGTGCTTTTCTATGTGCAGAACGAGGACATGTATATGCTGCTGGAGGTAACAGTGAAGGGCAGTTGGGATTAGGTGACACAGAGGAAAGAAACACGTTTCATCTAATTAGTTTTTTTACCAACCAGTACAAGATCAAACAGCTGGCAGCTGGATCTTACACATCAGCAGCACTAACCGGTGAGAGCAACAGCTAATAACAAATGCCTATACCATGAAAAGGTAAAAAATATGTTAACAACATAGCTTATCCTTTGACAGCCGCATTGAGTCTGATGGAAGCCTTATACCATGATCATTTGTTTTCCAAAAGCAGTAATTAGCAGTGGAGACTTGATAAGTCCGTGTGTTGGTAGAAAGGCTTTCAGCTATCTGATGCTAGGCCCCTTTTCTCCCTTTGCAATCTCATTCATACCTCTTTCACAAATCCTACCTTATAGCGGCCAGTAAGATGTGTGCTAGGCTATTTTCCTTCCACCAACGGCTAAAGCTCTCCTCGGATTTGCGAAGCAGCCCTGTGTAGTTTTAGTTCCAAATACTGCCCCAGGAACTGCTGCAGCTAGAAGGGTTTTATGCAGAGCTAACTTCCCACAACTTGGAATTGCTGTACAGAGAAGGCTGGATGGTGGCTGAAGATTATTGTATCGTTCCTTTGCCTCAGCCGCTCCTTGTTGCTGACATGGGTCTCTGTGCAGATGAGACTGGGTCTGGGACAAATAGGAGAACAGCTACTCTAATCAGCATGAGGGAGACAGAACGAGGTTGGGGTGAGTGTGAGAGGGATAGGAGAAAGCAGGGGAAAAAGAAGAGAATTAGTGGGGTGAATGGAAAAGCTGGGATAGAGAATCAATTTGGAGAAAAGAGAAATGGGAATCCTATTGATGATGCAAGTGGAGTCATGCCATCATGAAGTTACTAATAGGATAGGAATAAGCCTAACATCCACAACATTCCCCAGAATGTGTGTACACAGACCACCAGCAACTTGGGAGTCTGACAGCCTCCAATCTTATTGCTTACTGGAGAAACATGTCTGGAAATAAATGTTAAATGTTGCCATCTCTGGTCTAATACTACCTGGTCACTAAATATTCCATGGCACGTTTCAGAAGATTGTGGGGGATGGGATGCGTTGGTATCTCTGGCCCTATGCTTTGGCTATGTGTTGAGTGCCAGTTGATAGCTGTCCTCATACTTCAGCAATGGCTATGTTTTAGCAGTGTCATATAGAGTGTGTGAACTGCCTCTGGATGGAAGCCACAAGTAAATGTAAATATTATTGTTAGACCAGCTTTGGTTTTAAATCTGACTTTCTGCCGCTTTATTTTAGAGGATGGACAGCTTTTCGTGTGGGGTGACAATTCTGAAGGTCAGATTGGCCTGGCTGGTGAAGCCAGTGTGTGTGTACCTTGTCAAGTGGATGTTGGAAAGCCTGTTTCCTGGGTCTCCTGTGGATATTACCATTCTGCTTTGGTAACAAGTAAGATAATGATATACTGTGTAATAGAGCTAACTATACCAATGGGCCTCAAATTGTGGTCCTTATTTTCATCTGCTAAATTGCATTAAAAATAGCTAATGACACATTAAATACTTCCCTAATGATCTATGCCATGGGTATGTTATATGATCACAAATACAAAGGAAAGTGGTTTGTACACTTGTGAATTAGAGGTAAGTCTCGCAGGGACAATCTCTAAAATTTGCTCCATGCTGTGAAATGATTTGGGAAACTGATGTATTCTGTTCCATGATTCTTTATTGTAATTGAATTAATACTACCATGTGAAAACAAATTACAATGAACGTTAGTGTGTGGACAGTGTTATGGAAAAGGGTGTAATGCTGAATGAATGTCTTGTCACACTGATTTGATTTTAGTGAGACATACAACAAATGCCTTAGGTGAGTTTGATTTCTATTTTGTACAATAATCCAGCATCTCTGAGACTATTCATATTTGCTCATGTGTACTGACCCGCTTCTCTTCTACCTTTCCCTCCCTTCCCCCAAAAATGCAAATCTTGAATAGGCACTTATCACATATTTTTCAGAAAAATGCATCTTTCCTGCTAATTCACTGCCTTAATTGTCAAGGCAGTTTCTGGGGCAAACTGAACATATGCTGTATAAAGTAGAAATGTCTTGAGGGAATGAATGCTATGTATGGCTATTTACAGCTGTGCAATAAAAAAAGTTAAATATTTTTAGAAAGCATGCTCAAAATAGACATCTGGAATTTTGTCAAAGCACCATCAAAAGATTTAACAGGAAGTATAATGTATTAAACGCAATAATCCATTCATGAAAACCTATAACCTTGCAGAGAATTATGAAGACATGTGCAGCTCTAAGGAGGCAAAGAAGGGAGGAATGCAAAGACTGTTAAGATCTATGTTTCCTTCAGGGAGATAATGACAGATAATATACAGATAGTTTTTACTGTGCAGGATTTGGGCTAAGAGACACTTTGACATTTCTATAGCTCATTCCCACCCCCCATCTCCAAAATCACGTTTCCTGATTTGAGTGAATTACAGTGAAGATGATATTAAAGGCATGGGCAACTATTTATTCTCATCATATGTGTGCACCCCAAATAATACTAAGTCTTTAATCTTATCTCAGTCCCAATAAAGTATTAAAGACTTCAACAGATCAATAATTTTGGATTACAGAGCTTTTAACAGGCATCCAGAAACTACATCTGGTGCTTTATTCAACCTGCTTGATAAATGACAGATTTCTACAGATAACATCTGTGTGGGTCCCTGAGAGTATGCCGTGAACAGAATGAAAGCATTCAGTGACTATAAAGTATATGTAGCAGGGTGTTTTGCCTATAGTATGCAACTTTGTATTAATGATGCTTTCTTAAAATAAATAAGTTAAATGCTTATGATTGACCAGAAGTTTAGCAGCCATTAAATATTCTTCAGCTTCCAAGCACCACAATCGACAAGTAGATGTGTACGTCAAAAAACCCAGCTCTTCCAGGGCATAGCGAGAAGGTGGTATACTAAAAACTTGATCAACAAATGTTTTTTGATAGCTTACTATGATATGGAGCCAAAAATTGAGTTGCTAATTTGGCCACAGTAGAATTTAGTAGAGACTATAATCCAAAATATTTAGCCCTGTGACAGTTTAACCCAGGAGAGAGGTTTGAGAGATACTTGCACATACTTAATTGTCCCAGCTGTCAGGCTTGATAGACTTTCTCAGCATGGAAGTACTAGATCAAGGTGTTGGGCCATTGGAAAAATATTTAACTTTTTGTTTTATTTGAGTGTTTTAGCAATCAGATATCTGAAGAGGGATATAGTGTATCTGGTGTCAAAGAAGGTTCATATTAACTTAATGGACTAAATTCTACCATGTGGGTAAGTGGGCCCTACTGAAGCCAAGAAGAGCTTTATGCACATTTGTGAGAGGAGAGTATGACCAAAAGTCTATAATAATAAATCTTCTGAGCTTTGGTCTAGCCACTAGCACTGATAGGTCTTCTCCATATGCAGATCAGGCAGAAAGATGGCCAGTTACTTTCTTCGTAGTCTTTGGATCATTGGCTGCTCTCCTTTTCTCCCACACTCAATTTTTTCTCTTGTTTCACTGAGGAGAAGCAGCAAAGATGGCTTTTGTCTTTTAGTCCTTTTTGGACTTTTTCTGTAGTGTGTTTGCCAGCTTTTTTTTCTTTCTTTCTTTCTGCCCTTTCAGCGGAAGGACTAAAATTTCATATATATTTTTGTGATGACACTGTTCGGGGTCATATCTATTAGGTTCTCTTGTCAAGTCTATAACCAGGCCCTTTGTCAAGGACGTGCTTCTGGGAATAGATGGAAGACATGGCCTACCTCTGCAATGCAGATACCCTCTCTGCACAAGAATGGGCTGAGGGGAACAGTGTGCCTGCCCACTGCCCTGGTCCCCCATGCAGAAATGGATCCTCTGAATTAAATGAAAATTTGAATGATGTTTTGGATTAGAACTCCCCTTGTGCTTTTCCCTTGCCAGAAGCAGATAAGACAGACTCTAAAACCCCCACGATGGCATCCTTGCTACAAATGAGACTTTGATTGACATAGATAGAAACCTTTGGAGAAGCCCCTCTAAAGAGTGCTTTGCAGGTTCCCATGGGTCCCTTTCATGTGTGTTCCTTATTTTCATGGAACTGTTTTCAGCCCAGCTCGGAAGCCGTCACTTCACCAAGCTCCTTCATAGACCTCTGCTGTGTGAGAGGTGCTGCTATTTGATCCAGACGTACAGCCTTCAGAATCGCTTAGAAGGTTCAGAGGAAAGGAATGTTCAAGCCTGTCACATATCCCTTAAAGTTGTGCCAATAGTGGAAGTAGAGGTGGAGACTGTGCTCTCTCTTCTCGAATGATTCCAAAAGGGAAAAGAATATTCTTAACTGAAAATGATACAGGAGATAAATTCCTGAAGGGATCCCCAGGTACATCCCTGGCTAGGTCCATAAGCACTATGTTGTCTACAGAAATGTAGGAAGCCTGACTGTTGTTATCGCTCTCTCCCCCGTCCCTGCCCCATGAACGTCTCTGTGGCAACATGTACCAAATTTTTCTCTGTTCCATTAGGGCCACTAACTTTCCAAAAGCCATTTTGGAGTAGGAGCTCGTTGCGGGGGAAGAGTCAAGAAATGTCATCAGTTTCTCCCCAGTTATTATCCAAATGTTGGAATTTGAGAAGTTTTGACCAGCTCTGTTTGGACAAAAATATAGAAAGTTCATTAGGATGTAGACTTCTGCCTCTACTTCCAGACCATGCATGGAATGGCTCTCCGCATAAGAATATTCCCTGTGTGGAAGCTCAGCTTCCCAAAGAATTCTGAAACTTCACTAATAATTTTTTGGTTGCTCTTGGGCACTTAGGGTTTGCTTATGCTCACAGAAAATGTTGTTGGTTCCTCTGTCATAATGCAAGAGGCCTCTCTAGCCACATCAGTGGTCAGTAAGAGCCTTAGCACGTACCTCAAGGTCCATCCTTTCCAAATACACTTTCATATATTCTGTTCCTTTCCTTCTAGCTATTTCAGCTGACTTGGGCTGCAATAATCGCTTCAGCTCCTGTGGGTCACCATGTATGGAATCCTTGGGCTACTGGATCTGTAAACACAATTCCTATGTTGTCTTCCCTGGCCTACCTCCAGCCTGCCCTGGTGCCTGCTCTCTACTTGCTTATTTCGGTTGGCATGAAGATCCCCCTCCTAACGCCACTCAGTGAGAGAGAGAGAGAGAAGTTTTCCCTTTGCATTTCCATGCTAGGCCCCTGTGGGCCAGGGTTTAGTAGGACAGAGGGCCCTTCACATTAGGGAGAATTTTACCCTTTGGGGAAAAACTCAGAGATTTGATAGTGGAAAAGCAGAGTAAACAATAATATTAGATGGAAGCGTTATAGATCGGACTTGCCAAATATCTAGACTTAATATGTTTGTATAACTGTACTCAAATCATCTGACTTTGGAGCCTTGTAGGACTTCTTATGTTTGTTTGAAAGTTATGCTTCAGCATTTCCTAAACTGCTTTTGCCCAAGAGGGTCTCCTTAATGTATTCAAAAATGTACTGTAGTAATTGGGGCTATCTTTCTTAGCTGGATTATGAAGTTTAGAAAAGAAATTGAATAAGCTTGGTTAGTTTGGGAAGTCAATGGAAGACTGACCACTTGAACCTATAACCCCATTAATTAAGATTGTGAGCAGGTTAATAGATATGGTGCACTAGTGTGTTTCCAGATTTATGAAAAATTGACGCTGAATTTTAAAAAGACTGCTTTAGCTTCTTTTGAGAGAGAATCTCATGTGCAGCTCTAACAGTCAGTAGCTCACTGACTTGATTCTAGAAATAAATGAGATACACTTAAATATATATGCGTAAAAATGATGACTCTTGTTTTTCAACATTTGCAGCCGTTGATTTACTCTTTTCTTTCTCTTCTTTCGCCCAGAAACACTGGGGCCTCTCTGAGAATCCTTAACAGAATCCCAAAGTAAGAGCCTGGTGCTACAGCCTCTTTTGTATCAGTCTGACCCCAAGTTGCAAAAAGTGTTAATTATCTAATGGATTTACAGAAACTTTAGGAATGGTATGCTATCAAGGTTACAGTTTTCACATTATCTTTGTTATGGAGGCACTGATTGTGACTTCATAGTTAAGGTAGTGATCCATTTTGCACTTAACGAAGGGATTCAACTCTGTTTCACATGTGTTCTCCTCAAACTTACAACACTTACTTTTTGAGTACAGAATTAATTTTCTGAGGATATACCAATAAATCCATTCGTTTTTTGCATTCAGATTAATTAAACTGGGTTCTTTATGAAATTTAGCACCTGGGCCTGTCTTTTTTGTCCCAAAGGATCTTAGCAACAGAATAACACACACTTCAAACTTTTCATGTAGTTAAAATTAATTGATATCTTGTGCATAGGCTGTATTCGAAGAAATTAGATTGTAATTAAGTTATTAATGATAGGCTACAGGCAGGCTCAAGTCAACAGCCCAGGTAACTCTTAAGTGGAGCTGTTGTGACGTCAAGGGTAACTCAACCAGTTGCCACCCTTCCTCTATAGCTAATTTACATTCAGCATTTCTACTGGTGGTAATTACTCAGTGGTATAAAGGAGACAGAGAGAGTTGTATAAAATTGGCAGATTTAGTCCAGTGATCATTGCTCTTTAAAGATTCTGTAGCTGCCAGCTGGCTTATGTGTCAGTTGGTTGACCTGATAGCACTGCACATTGAGGAAGCGGGAGGCAGAAGGTAGGAGAAGCCATTAAAGCAGAGTGTCACTGGGAATCGATCTAGCACCGGTTTTGTTAACACAGCCTTCTAAATGCCTAAATCAGTTGCACATTAAGGGCCAGATTCACCAGAACACTTCCGCCGCTTTGTGCTGCTCTGGGGAGACAAACTTAACTGCTCAGTGCACGCTGGCTACTTTGCTGTACCAATGAATGTGTCCTTAAGTTAAAACGTAAATGATTTAAGGTTAATATTGCATATCTTCAGATCATTAGAAATATTGCATATTAGTACTGTTTGGGGATTTCTTTTTTTAGTACACATGTGTGGACACTCCTTAGGGAAATTCCCAGACAAAAAACTACTTTAAAATGGAACTAAGATTGAGAAGAAGTATCAGTAATTTAGCGGTAAACAATGTTTCAGGGATGTTGTAATTATCCCCAAAATCAGCAATATAAACCAGAAATTTCAGAGTTAACTGGATTTTTTTTTAGTGTGTACCCTTATGTTAAAGTAAGAAATTCCCAGTTAAAGCATGCAAACAACCTTAAATTTGCCCTGTACCAGCACTAGAAGGAGTGTGGGGGGGGGGGGGGGAGTGAAGAAAAAAATCTGTCTTGAAAAATCATTTGTGTATCCCGTGCAAGATCCAGGCAGATTTGCAGTTGGAGGAGTGCATGGACTGTTCCCTAATTACTTCCTCCAAGAAGGTGGTGGCAGGAAGAAATGCTGCATATTGTATGTGCTTCTGGTGCATTCTGCTTCTCTGACTAATCCAATCCTTCTCCTGGGATAGAAGGCTCTTTGCTACCCTTTGCCATCCACTAACTGCTGTTGACACGATCTAACCCCAAATAACTAATAACCAAAATTTCACAAAAATTAAACAGTGGCTCAGCAGAAAAATACAATGGGCCAAATTCAGCCCTGGGCAATTCAGATGATTTAAATAGAATTACCTCAGCAATTAATTTGAGCCACAGCTCTATATATAGAATGTCTTGCACACTCAGTGAGTGTTTTACCAGAGTAAAAGCTGAATAAAGATTTGGTAAAGGGAAGAGGGAAATGGAATGCATGCAACACAAATGGTGCATTTCTTTTGAACTCTGAATTGCTACTTTTTCATTTTTCAAAATAAAAAAACATGTTAATTCCTTGCTTTTGTCTGTTCTGCCCATTTAGGTTTCATTGACTTCAGTAGGCTTTGGAAACTGGTCCTTGATTTTATTAACCTTGCTTTTTAATAATTCATACCCATTTGCTTTGGACAAGTGTGTATATATTTCTATTTTGAGTTTATGTGATTATTTTTAATTTCTTCTTATTTTCAATTTCTGTCCTCTAGACTTATTTGGTTTTGGCATGGTTGTTGCCCTTAGGACCTCAAAATCCAAATGACAGAGATGCGGAAAGGGATAAACACGAGGGAAGGATTCTAATGTAAAATTGCTTGTGCCATACAAGGAAATATAGTGTTATATACAGTGCAGTTACTTATGGGCTCATGTTTTGGAGTCTGTGATTTGTGTGTATCAAGAGCGTTTAAAATGTTGTTTTATGAAAGTGTGTTTGAATTCATAGCATTTGGATATGATCCTTTAGACATTTGCTGTGTGTATTAGGACTGCCTCTTAATTCTATAAATGTGGTTTGTTAATGCTTAAGTTTATTGGGCTATAATTATGGAAAATTAGTGTATCTCAGAAATGTACTCTAGATAGATATCTATAATTATGCTTCAATAATGGGACAGTTGCCCAGTGTTTTAAGTAATGGCTTCAGCACATAATTAACACGTTTCCCTGAGCACCCAGCCCTTAGTCTAAACATTTCTTTGTCTTCAATTTGTTTCATATGAGAGATTTATTTATCCTTTTGCTTTGGTAAATCCAGCTATAGGTTAAAAAACAAAATCAATGCTCTGGTTCTTAGAGCATATATGGAGATGTAAATAATTTTTATGATGATTCTTTCTGCCAAATCTATTAAGAGCCAAATTCCTACCTCATTTAGTTGTTCGCAACTTCCATTGACTCTGGTGGATGGGAGTTGCATGTGAATGGGAGTGGAGAATGTGGCCCAAGTGTAAATTATTAACCTGTTTGTCCACTGAAAAGATTAAATGACTTTATATAAAGTTTGCTTGGTATAAAGACACTGTGCACGATAACTCCATAATAGTAATAATATATAGCACTTAATGTAGTGTTTTATGTCTTCAAAGTCTTGGACAGACTTTGACTAAGAACTTTTTTGCCTGATCCAAAGACCATTGAAATCATTGGAAAGTTTCCTTTTGACTTAAATAGATTTTGGGTCAAACCCTTAGTCAGTAAGCACCTTTTAATAATACTTAGCTATTATATACCTTTTTTATCCATAGAAGTCCATAGAAATGCTTTAAAAAGGGGAAAGTAAGTTTCATTGTCCCACTTTATGGTTGCAGAAACAGTCACAGAGTGCTGAATAACCCAGCTGGTCGGTGCAGAGCTGGGAATAGAACCCAGGCCTCCTGATTTCTGTTATTTACAACTGGCTTAATGCCTATTGCTTTTACAGTTTGGCAGAGCACCATCATGGAGTAACTGTAATTTTCGCTTAAAAAAAAAGTTATTGCATCCAGCTGCTTCAGGTACAGAGGGAGTCTCAATGTGAACATCAGTTCTAAGGAGCAACTCAAGTACTATGAAAAATGTTTCTACAGGCCTCTTTCAGGCTTGGTGGAGACCCATAGCTATGTCCTTGGAGCTTCACCCAGCAGCCAGAGATCTCTCCCACTTGACCTAGCTCTTACCTAGGATAGCAGAATGCTAACAGAGCTTTTGGAACAGAAAATCAGATCGGAACTTAAAGACTGGCACGGCAATAGACAGTAACTTTGAAATTTTTAACTCTTCTATCAATATAGTAGAAGGGTAAACAGATGGCCAGATTAGATAACTCAGACTGTTATCTGATTGTTTAAAAAAAACAAAGGTGGAAACTGAAAAGTGTTAAAACAAAGGAAACTCTTTTATAAAAGAATGGATTGCTGTATTTAGGATTGAACAGACTGAAAACCCTGTGCTCGTAAAACTAAGTCTGGGTGCCTGGGAAGGATTTTTTTTTTCTTTAACTGCTGGGCTGACCAGAAAGCTGTTATGTAATACTGAGGTGGTGAAATCTCTTCTGACGGAGATAATGCCATGGTGAACCTTGGAGCGCTTGATATAGTGCCATTTATTTCTAGTATTCAGTACAATGGTTCTTTTCTTGTTATGTAGCTCATTAACAAATCTTTTTACAATATTTGCACTGGTTTCCTATTCTGTCCCCTCACTCTCCATCGGAGGCGAGCATGGACTTTCATGTATCCCATTAGTAGGGCCAGTCTTTGCTAAGACTGCTGCAAGCAACTCCAATGGATGTAAATAGTGACTAGAATGGGAGTTGTGATTCACTGACACCTCTCAGAATCAAGTATTGTTTTGGTTTTCTTCTTGACAGACTCCTCGCATAGGGAAACATTACAACTCTCATTTTGTTTTATTTATAATTTAAAACAAAAGTCCAAAAAGCAATGGGTACTTTACAAACCATGAAAGCATGAGAAAATAACTTGGCCCAGCTCTGCCTTTTAGTGAAGTACTATGACTCCTGCTCTGTTTTGTATTTCCCCAGGAGATGGTGAGCTCTACACTTTTGGAGAACCTGAAAATGGGAAGCTAGGTTTGTCGCCTGAACAACTGAAAAACAGTCGGGTTCCACAGCTAGTGCCTGGAATTTTGGGAAGGGTTAATAAGGTTGCTTGTGGTGGCGGACATACGGTGGCACTTACAGGTATGCAAACTAGTTGGCTTTTCTCTGATCCTGTAATTAAAAGAATCACTTTGCCTGATAGAGCAAACACTCTTATGAAATGTCAGACAATGCCTAGAGAAACTTTTCTGCTGTCTTATTACATTGAAAATGAAATCTGTGGTTTTCTTCCATGAGTTCTACAAGAAAGCCTCCCCTTGTGAAATTTTAAATAATCTTGAATATGTGTTAATTAGTGAGTCACTTTTCTGACTATAGCCACTCTTTAATGGCTATAAAGAAAAATGTATGATCTATTGGGAAAAACACAGAACTGGGATCCATGAACTGATTATTTCTAATCTACTGCTGCAGGAATTCTGCACATCTGAAGATATTCAGATTTCATGTACCCTGCAGAATTTTTTTTCTGCAGAAAATACATTTCTGCCAAAGAAGAGCTGCAGTTCCACCTTTTGTTCACCAGAGACCACTGTGGTGCCACAACAGCTGGCTGTGTTTGTGCTAGCTGTTCTGGCACCACAGTGGCCTCTGGTGGGTGAAAGGTGGAACTGCAGCTCTTCTTGGGCAGACGTGTATTTTCTGCAGAAAAAAAATTCTGCAGGGTACATGAATTCTGAATATCTTCAGATGTGCAGAATTCCGCCAGGAGTAGATTAGAAAAAATCAGTTCATGGATCCCAGTCCTGTATTTTTCCCAATAGATCATACATTTTTCTTTATAGCCATTAAAGAGTGGTTATAGTCAGAAAAGTGACTTTCCCAGAACTGTTTCAGATTAGCAGCTGTGTTGGTCTGTATCCGCAAAAAGAAAAGGAGGACTTGTGGCACCTTAGAGACTAACAAATTTATTTGAGCATAAGCTTTCGTGAGCTACAGCTCACTTCAACTGCAGCACTTCTGGGGCAGAATGTACTGGGGGGTGGGGGTGGAATTCTATGCATGCCCAGTATTGCAGAATTCACCCAGGAGTAGAAGTTCATCACAGCATCCTGCTCGCAGAGCCAGGTTACAACAGAGTGAGGCACACAGGCCTGCTGGGGCGGGGAGGGAAGCGGGGTCACAGACTGGGGTTCAGAATAGCTAGGGGTGGAAAGACTGGGGCACAGGCTCAGGACTTAGTGGGCTGACAGCATTGAGCCTGGTGACAGGCGGGGGGACTGCAGGGACACATGAGGATAGGGGAGGAGGCTGCAGAGACCCATGCGGATGAGGTTGTGGGGGCAAGGGCAGATGTGCCTGACCTGAATGGGAGAGGTTTGGGTTCAGCTACGGTCTCATGGGAGAGGCTCCCCAACTCCCTAACAATCCCGCCCCTACCCCCAAAAAACCTGTTCCATACTTCTTACACCCATACCCAACAATTTTCCAGGTTCACTCCAGACTCCTTCCCTCTCCCTCAGCTCCTCTGTTACCCCTGACTCCCCTAAGCCTTTGCACTGCTTCTGACAGTTCTATATTGTAATTTAAATTAATTATTCAAAGTTCTGTATTAATATGCTTAGTGTAGAATCTATTTGTCAAAAAAAAATGATCAGAATCTTTTTTTGAGGGAGGGTCTGTATTGTTACAGACATACTTGCTGACATATATTTTGAAATAAACTACTAAAATAATTGAAACTGGCATGATTATATTGTGTTATTTTGACAAATAAAATGTACAGAATTTTAAAATATGGTGCACAGAATTTTAAATTTTTTGGCACAGAATTCCCCCAGGAATACCAATCCTAGCTCCAATACTGTGGCTTTAGGCAAAGTACTTAATGTGTCTGCCTCCATATATGATACTATTATATAATACCTCATAGGGATTTTGTGAGAATGTATTAGTTGTTTGTACCGTGCTACATAGTCTAATAAACTATTAGAGTGGGTTATTGCTAAACTAGCTTTTCAAAGAGAAAAATGACACTACTAGCTCTTCGCTTTCATATTTCTAACTTTGGGCATTTTTATTATTTTTGGTTTTTTTTACTGGGTTTATCTCTCTTTATTACCAATCTTTTAAATTAGATTGGTTAATGATTCTTCTATTTATACTTTAGCTCAATCCTGAAAATCCATCACCTGCGAGGAGCAGGAAGCTTCTTGACTGAGTAGGACCAATGCCATCAGTTTACACAGAATCTAAGCTTTTAGCTAAAACAAAAGAAAAGTAAGATTCTGTCTCACAGACTCATCAACTTTAAGGTCAGAACGGACCATCGTGATCTAGTCTCCTATCCTCTGGCTGAGTTAATGAAGTCCTCAAATCATGATTTGACTTCAGGTTACAGAGAATCCACCATTTACACTAGTTTAAACCTGCAGTTGACCTGTGCCCCATGCTGCAGAGGAAGGCTAAAAACCCCCAGGTCCTCTGCCAATCTGACCCAGGGGAAAATTCCTTCCCAACCCCAAATATGGCAATCAGTTAGATACTGAGCACATGGGCAAAACCCACCAGACAGATACGTGGGAAAGAATTATCTGTAGTAACTCAGAGCTGTCCCCATCCAGTGTCCCATCACCAGCCACTGGAGATATTTGCTTCTAGCAGTTGCAGATCAGCTACATGCAGTGATGAGCTGCCAAAATCTTTAACAACGGGTTCCCTCCTCATCCCACGAGGGGGTCGTTGCCCACCCCCACCCCCCGGGACTCCTGCCCCATCCAACCCCCCACGTTCCTTGATGCCCCCCCAGGACCCGTGCCCCATCCACCCCCCTCTCCTTTCCCCGACTGTCCCCAGAACCGGGCAGGAGGGTCTCGTGGGCCACCGTAGTGGGTGTCCACCCCACCCCTAAGAGCCAGAGGGACCTGCTGGGGGGCGAGGTGGGGAGTCCTGGAGGTGCTTACCTGGGGCAGCTCCCAGGAAGCATCTGGCAGGTCCCTCTGGCTCCTAGGGGTGGGGGAGCGTAGCTGGGGGGGGAGTGGCCACTCCCCCACTGATCACATCAAAAGTGGTGCCTTAGGCGCCGACTCCCTGGGTGCTCCGGGGCTGGAGCAGCCACGGGGAAAATTTGGTGGGTGCACAGCACCCACCGGCTGCTCCCCCACCCCGCACCCGCTTCAGCTCACCTCGCCTCCTCCGCTGAACGGGCTGCCCCACTCTGCTTCTCCGCCCCCTCCCCCGGCTTCCCGCGAATCAGCTGTTCGGCGGGAAGCCTGGGAGGGCTGAGAAGCAGGCCACGGCTTCACACTCAGGCCGAGGAGGGCAGAGGTGAGCAGTTCCCATGCGCGGCCCCCTGGGTTACCTGCTGGGGCACGGGCAGCCCTCCTCGTGCCCCCCCCGCCCCAGCTCACCTCCGCCTCCCTGGGCCTGAGTGGGAAGCCGCGGCCTACTTCTCAGCCTGCCCCGGCTTCCCGCGCAAACAGCTGATTCGCAGAAGCCTGGGGGGGCGGAGAAGCAGACCGGGGCGGCGCTTTCAGGGGAGGAGCCAGAGGTGGAGCGGAGGTGAGCTGGGGCAGGGCGTAGGGCGGGGAGCTCTGCACCCATCAAATTTTCCCCTTGGGTGCTCCATGGCAGGAGCAGTCATGGAGTTGGCGCCTAAGGCGCTACTATTGGCCAGTTCTAAAAGGGCTTCTAAATTTTACAGCTCCAGCTCACCACTGGCTACATGCCCTTGTAGGCAGTCTCATCATACCATCCCCTCCATAAATTTATCAAGCTCAGTCTTCAAGCCAGTTAGGTTTTTTGCTCTCACTGCTTCCCTTGGAAGGCTGTTTCAGAACTTCACTTCTCTGATGGTTAGAAACCTTTGCCTAATTTCGAGCCTAAACTTGTTGATAGTGAGTTTATATCCATTTGTTCTTGTGTCCATATTGATGCTTAACTTAAATAACTCTTCTCCCTCCCTGTTGTTTATCCCTCTGATGTATTTATAGAGACCAATCATATCTCCCCTCAGCCTTCTTTTGGTTAGGCTAAACAAGCCAAGCTCTTTGAGTCTCCTCTCATAAGGTAGGTTTTCCATTCCTCAAATTATCCTAGTAGCCCTTCTCTGTACTTTTTCCAGTTTGAATTCATCTTTCCTACATGATCTGGGAAACCAGAATTTCACACAGTATTCCAGATGAAGTCTCACCAGTGCCTTGTATAATGGTACTAACACTTCCCCATCTCTACTGGAATACCTCGCCTGATGCATCCTAGGACTGCGTTAGCCTTTTTCACAGCTGCATCACATTGATGGCTCATAGTCATCCTGTGATCAACCAATACACTCAGGTCTTTCTCCTTTGTCACTTCCAATTGATACGCCCCCCCAGTTTATAACAAAAATTCATGTTGCTTAGTCTCCAAAAGCAAAATGTTGCACTTTGCACTATTAAATTTCATCTCATTTCTATTAGTTCAGTTTACAAGATCATCTAGATCTTCTTGTATAACTCATCTGTCTCTAAGGATTATGATAAAAAAGCTTTAAGAACATGAAGCAAGAATAACAGGCACAGCAGCTATGAAGCTGTGTGTGAGCAGATACTATTGGTGCACTGTTTGGCATGAAGGAACAGATCCTGAGTATACCCTGTTCCCTCACCCCACTGGCTGAGTAAGGCCCATATCACTCCTAATACTCCATGAATGCAAATAACTGCCTTCTACCGCCTATTTCTGAGGTCTCCCTCTTCAGGCTCAGGATGGGGAGAGCAGAAGTGACCAAACTCCTTATTCCCTACTCTTATTGTCAGCTGTGATGCTGTTCTTTTTAGAAGTTCAGCAAATAGAACAGATTTTATTGAAGATCTTAATGGTGTTGCTACTGCCTATAGATGATACCCAATCAAGCAAACCAAACATTGTGCGAAGCCAGAATATACTATGGTGCAAGAAGCAAGCAAGGAAAAAAGGAATTGGGCAATATAATTGAATTAACTGAAGTTCAGCTGCCCAAAATGATCTGGGAAAAATTAGTTTTCCCGAGGAGAAAATTAAGGCAGCATGCAGAGTTCATTTTCAAAAGTCTCCTAAAATTCAAAGTTGAGGAGGTAAATAGGAGTTATAGCTAATCTGGATAGGGAAGGGATATTTGTAATATTTGGATAGCTGTCCTTTGAGCTCTCTCATTATGCAAACACACTCTTGGAATGTGCCTGCATGTTTCACACCAAACCTGGATCCTTCTAGAAATCTCTAGCCATCGGGGATTGCATGGATCTCATCTTGAGTCATGGAGCACTCCTATAAGGAATCATGGTCCTCCTACACCTTCATTTCCTCTAGCCACCATCACAGCAAATCAAAAATGTGAAAGCTACCTGGTCTCTTTGGCTACAACTGCTTCATCTGTAATCTCAGCTACCACTTTGAGGTGAGATTTGGAGGAAGTGTTCTTCTGTATCTATTGACATGTATACAAAGGTGGAGATTTCATAAATAAGGTGATAGAGAAGAAAAAAGATTGAAGTCTTTGGTCATTTGCCAACCCACCCCCTTCTTTAAGAAAAATATTTCATATATCACAAATCCTCTCAACTTGCTCCAAAGCCAGACTGACGAGAAGAAATCTCAAACCTTATTTTGGCTCGAAAAAATATAAAACCCTATTGTCAGAAGCACAGTTATGCTGCTTGTACCTTTGGGCCTTTTTCTGCTGTCAAACACAATGCTTGAGTCCTAACTCAAACGATCTTGAACTTATCCCATTTTACTAAGTTTTGGAGGGGACCATATTTATTCTGTTTTGGTGGCATGGAATGGAATCATGTCCTAACAGTAAGTGTTCAAGATAGTTTGGAACAGTTTTGCTATGCCTTTGCACTCGACCAAAACTTCCTCCTTTTCTTATCCCTTTACAGGGATCCTGTTCATGAGAAACTGCTGAGGGATTTAGTCATAGAGAAGGGTTATCTCGAGTAGAGTAACAGAAGTGATTCCTCAGCCATATCAGAGACAGAGATGATGTTCCCAATATTTCCTTAGCCCTAATGGTTTTTGTTTGGTTGGGTTTTTTGGGGGGGGTACCTTCTATTGTAGGCTCAAGCACTCTGAAAATTCAGAATAGTGGCCTGGGCCTCAATAATTGCATTACAAATCTAAGGGATGGTTTGCCTGACCCTCTTGTTTCTGTGTATTCCATAAAGACTGCTCACAGGAAATACCTTATTTTCTGTGTTGGAGAGGATCATTACCTGTATTTGATTTTTCTTTTGCATCCATGTTCTTCAGCAAATGTCTTACTGTGGTGGCAACTCACTTGAGAAAGCTGTGCTTTCTTTTTTTCTCCTTCCATGGCAACTGACTATTGAAAGCACAGATGTTCAAAGAGGCTTAAATTGCCTTAGAGAAGAGTATGTTCCATACCTCGGTTTAGACTTAGTGAAAAATATGATAAAACATCCAACTTCACTTAAACTCATTATGTTCATCAGAGCAAGGATGACAAAGGTCTATTTGTCTCCAGAGAAATTTCACGACCTATTTGAATGTTGCTAAGGCTATTAGAATTTATGGCATCATGCATCCTGGGAAATCCATTTGCCAAATTGAGGGTGAGACTTCAGTTCTGGCTAAAGAAAGTATCTGCTTCAAGAACAATCTGTATTCATATAGACTTCGTATGGAAAGCCTAGGTATCTATCAGTTATTCTTCTGTTAATTGGAATTGAGGGATCTCTTTCTGATTTCTTATTTTACTTTACTTGTTAGCAATCCCTTTCTGGATATTTTTCCTAGCACTGAATCTTCCAGCAGAGGGAGCTGTAATATTAAATTTAGTAGGAAGATAACTTTTTATAAAATATTCTGCATACGTAAAAAAAAAAAGTCTTGCTCTTTATATTTCATGGTCTTTTGATTTTGCAGAAGTGACCCTTAAAATTGTTTTAAAAGAGTGATGAGAGGAAAAGATATCCTGTAAGCAGAAAACTTTTTTTTTTCAGCTTTGTGTTAGAAGGTCTGATCCTGTATTCTTTGTTGACCTGAAATTGCAATTAAAGTCAATGACTATGTTGGGCTAGTAATGCCGGGTCTGCTCCACTTCTATTTTCTTCCCATCCCTCCTCTTCTCCCACAATAAAGACAAGATGAAGGTGGGAGAGTGGTTGGGAGATAGCGCTGGAGTAAATGTAATGTGTGATTTGTGTTTAAATGTGCTACCAGTTTATTGCTCCTCTGAGAATGCAGCAAAAAAGCATTCAGTTACCGTACATAGATGGCTGGTGTGACGGCCTGGCATCCTCCACAGGGGTGGGAAGAGCTTGTGCTTGCCCTGCTTCTGGTGCTATGGTGTGGTGTCTACCTCCGTGGGTAGGAGGAATTCCTGCCCCTGTGCTGCAGTCTGGCTTTTACCCCACAAGTGGGAGGAGCACCTAGTCGCCCTGCTGCTGGTGTGCAGTGTGACTTCTACTTAAGTTTGATTTCCTGTGGGAGTACAATGTACGTTCAGACATACTCACTTCCATTCAAAAGTCTTGAGTTCTCTCTTTCTCTTGGTAGCGAGATGTGTGGCTCCTTTACTTCCACTTAAAAAATCATCAGCTATTTTCAACATATGCAAACATTAAAACTATTTTTAAATGCTTTTATTTAGCTGCTGAATGTAACCTTGCCATCTGAATGACCTTGATTCTTGAACAGAGAGAAACTTTCTAAAAGCAAATGTTCCTGACACCTGCTGGTGGTTATATGGATAATGTATATGAAGAGGAAAATTAATCCTGGAGTCTCCAGATACACTGCAATAACAACATTGTCAGTGTTTTTTAATGTTTAAGCAATACCAGACCTGCAAAGATCTGGATCGTACATAATAGAGTTTTGCATATGGCAAGAAGTTCAAGAGTAAGCTGTTGAAGAGGAAAATATACATAATGATTTTTTTAAAATAATTGTGCGCTTGTGTTGACCTCAGCTGTAATATATAACATTGTATAATTTTCATTGGCTGACTTTCACATGTGCATTTAGTCAATAGCTTATTTTGCAAGTACGCCATGAAACAAAATATGTAGCAGCTCGTACCAGTTTATTTTCTATATCAGTGGTTCCCAAACTTGTTCCACCACTTGTGCAGGGATAGCCTCTGGCAGCCCGGGCTGGTTTGTTTACCTGCCGTGTCCGCAGGTTCGGCCGATTGCGGCTCCCACTGGCCACGATTCACTGCTCCAGGCCAATGGGAGCTGCTGGAAGCGGTGGCCAGTACGTCCCTTGGCCGGGCCTGTCAGGGGCTTTTCCTGCACAAGCGGCGGAACAAGTTTGGGAACCACTGTTCTATATGTTTAGTTAAATCTTTCGGACGGAGGGTGGTTTTTTTCATGTCATGTTCCTTTTGATTTTTCTCTTTCATTGTGATTACACTTTATGAATTGATAAAATGTAAAACTTTTTTTCATAAAGTTGGAGAGTGATTTGATTTCTGTTTTGCCAGGAGGTCATAATTAGGACATATTAACTGTTTGTTTACTTTCCATGTACAATTTTCAGAAACAGATGTATATACCTTTGGCCTTGGACAATATGGGCAACTTGGACATGGTACGTTTATTTTTGAAACGTCGGCACCAAAGGCTGTGGAACATCTGAAGAGGCATAAAATATGTAACATTGCATGTGGGGAAAATCATACAGCTGTAATAGCAGGTATGTATGCTGAAACTTCTGAAATGTACTTAAAATGATAAAGTATTATCATTTATGATATGGAATTGGTTTATTATAAAATGAGCACAGTGAGGAAAACATGCAGATTTCATTTAAGGTTAAGTGACTGCCCAATCCAGTGGTCAGTGGAAGAGCCAGATTGGAATTTAGGAATTCTGTTTTTGACTTTCTGTATATGCTTATTCCTGTAGACCACGCTGCCTTTTAAGGAAGCTGTAGCCTCACAAAGTCCTCTCTAAAACTCATGCATGAGACTCAGTTTTGCTATACAGTTTTATTGTATTTTTTATTAGTATTTTATTTTTTGGTTATCTAGACTAACAATCCCAGACAATACTTTTGTCTGAAAATGTATTTATCTTCTGGAAACATATTCAGCAGTTTAAAAATCATACAAATCTTTGTTCAGATTCAATTTTTGAAAATGAAATACACCTTGCTTTCAAAATGTATTGAATTCTACTCTTATAACAGTTTTGTCATGTGCTTTTAATGCACCTTCTACATTAGTAACATGTTTCTTCTTCCATGTAGACAACGGCCTTATGTTTACTTTTGGAGATGGACGACACGGCAAATTAGGACTTGGAGAAGAGAATTTTACTAATCAATTCATACCCACCTTATGTTCTAATTTCTTGAAGTTTACAGTCTGTTTGGTAAGGCTTTGCTTTGTTCTTTTTCTCAAGCTTTGAAATGCTTATACTTTATAAAATCATTTCATATCTTATTAAAGGAAATCTGACAGTTTAAAATCATATTTATATTATTTCCTTTTAGTATTTTATTAATACTGTAGATTAATACTGAAAGAATGTTAAAATGTTTTGTTTTATTTACCACTTCTCATTCTGCTGCTTCACTTCTTGCTCTGTGATCGGTTTGGACCATAAAAATAGACTAGTCAGTTTTTCTTTCAGATTGTTATGCGCTTTCACAACACTGCAATGTTGCAAACACTTCAAAGGAATCCATAAATTTCAGACAAATTTTTTTTTAAACATTTTGGTAGTTTTAATTTTAGGAATAGCCTTCTACCCAGTGTGTGGACCTAAACCACCTGGTTTATATCACTTTAATATCACAGATTATTTATAATGTAGGTTATTTACAAAAGTTTAATCAAATGAAAATGTATTAGTTTTTTACTCCAAACATGATGAGAAAAGAGAGGCAATATTGTTCTTTTAGGTTATTGTTTTAGTCTTTCTGCTGGTATTGAGGAAAATTGCTGTAATGCTAGCTCCAAACATTCAGAAATTGAGTCAGGCCCCAAAAGATCAATTAAACAAACAAACAAAACCAAAACCATTTTGAGTTCTTTTTATTTGCTTCTGTTTTTTGGGCCATCAACATGCCACTTGAGTCATGTTTTCAAGCTTTTCTCTACAGCTATGAGGGCTAGAAACTTTTTTAAAAAAAGAAAGTTGAGATTCTCATGTAATAACTGTGTCTCCCAGATTGGCTAGGGCTCTAAATAAAACATCAAATATTATGAGACTTGTGGTAGTTTTCAAGAGAGGTAACATTGTGTATATGTCATATTGGCTAACTTCAGAATGATTTACTAAACTCCTTTGAAAACTGATGCAGAATTTGTTGCTTGCTTCTAGAGAGTTGGCTAGTTTTATTCGGTTTTACAATATATTGTATTTAAAAAGTTTCAATCCGTTATATATTTTAAACATCAGTGATTACAGTTTGTACTCTATCATACTGAAATCTGTAACTTAGTGTGGAGCAAAACATTTGGATCTTCTAACCTGTTTCTTAGTCGTTGGTCCAGAAGATGAATGCAAGTTGATGAGATCCTTTTGTGTTTACACTGTAGGTTGCTTGCGGTGGCTGTCATATGCTAGTTTTTGCCACTCCAAGGCCTAAAGGGTCTGAAGAAATACACGAAGATTTACGTGAAAACTGTTTGGCTGCTACTATCTCTAAACTGGGTGGTGATTCATTAGTAACTAACACCTTGCAGAGAACGTTATCGGCTCGAATGCGGCGGAGAGAGAGGGTAAATTCAGAGCTAACTATTTCTGACATTTATTAAGTTTTCATGATTTTTTACAGGAAAAAAGACTTTTTTTAAAAAAAATTAAATTATAACTTACACTCACCAGATAAATATCCCTCTTTGAAATAAATGTTTGTATTTCAAGGTTCTTCTTTGAGTAGTGTTCCTGTGAGGGCTCCACTTCAGGTGTGCCTGCACCTTTAATTGGAGATTTTAGTAACAGTGCCCATTCAGCCCATGCATGTGCTCCATACAACCTTGTGCCTTGCAGCAAGGCTGAATGGGGCTGTGCAGACAAACTGCCCTCAGTTCCTTCTCAACTGCCTTCAGCCTGAGACAGTGGCTTCTGTATGCCTGTTCTCTTTATTATTTAGCAGCTAGTTAATTAATATGTAGTTAGATATTTTATAGTGTTTGTAGTTGTTGGAACAGTTGTTCCCTTTTTTCTTTTCCTTTCTCTTAAAAAAATATTGATGGGAAAGATTTCCCTATTTAGGGGTCATTTTTTGTTATATTGCTTGGGTAGTCCAGGTTCCCCGGGATTTAAAAGGTGCCTCTGTTGCTGCGAGGCTGTCCCAGTCAGGCATTCTCAGTGCCTCCATTGTTTGTGAGATACTCATCTTCCCAGTAAGTACATAATCTGCACTTCCTTCAACGATAGATCCTGAAAAAATAGGGAGATCAAGTTTAAACTCCTGATGATGGAGCAAGCCTTAAAACTGGCTTCAGATCCAGGGGCGGAAGACCACCCTGTATACAGATCTCCCAGAACAGCTTGTGTCCCATCCACATCAATATCCTGGTCACTGGAGGTCGACAGAGATGGAGGCAATATCATGGCACTGATTGCATCTATGGCACCAAAGACCTCAGCAAAGGTAGCCTTGACATCAGCGTCTATTCAGAAAGAAATAAAGAGTAAATCTCTGAGAAAGTCTCAGTCACTGGTGCACAAGAAGGCTACGAAAACCTCAGGTCCCCAGAGGAGTATCATGCAGGGTCCAAGTGATTCTGGTACTGCAAAGACAGGGAAGACAGCTTCAAGGAGTCAGTCCTCAAAGACAAACTCCTTACCGAACTCAGGTATCATACCCAGAGCTGTAGACACTCTTCCAAGAAGAATTCTAGTCTCATCCCTGAATATCAGTTGGTGCCGGCCACTTAGAAGTCTGTGGTACTGAAGACTGCTTGACTGGTGTAATTGGAGTCTACTCATTCCCATGCCAAGCACTTGGTGCCAGCTACATCAGTACTGAAGCTGTCCTCCACAGGTTCTTGCTTGGGCCTGTCATTGATGCCATTAGTACTGCAAGAATTTGGATACTCTAAGGATCATCTAGTATCTTCAGAGTCAGACACTCCTCTGCCAACTGGTACTGGGGGTTACCCTCCTCAAGATTTACTTGGTCACTGACGCCCATCATCTAGAATATCATACTCACCCTCGTTTACAACACAAGCAGAACAGTTATTTTCCCTCCTCCCCACTTGGATATGTTGAAAAGGAGTCCTAGGACTCTCAAATCTCAGTACAGGCTTCCCCTGTCTACTCTAGAACACATTGCTGCCTCTCCTACACTGAGGTATTGGAGGAGGATAAACCTCAAAGGACACCCGTGTGGCAAGAAGAGAGATGGTTGCCTCCACCTATCCCATATGCCCCCCCTCCAGTGGCCTTGTTGGGAGCTGTGGGCATTCTGTCAACAATATGTGATGAAGTTATTACACCACCAAAGGGAGCAAAGAAGAGTACATTCCCCAACCACTTGTGGCACCATAAATGCCAGAGGAGGAAACCTTTGTGGAGTTGGACTCAAGGGCAGACAAGGAGGTAACACCTCTTACAAGTATTTCCTCCTCGTCGTCTGAAGAAGTTGTGTTGCCTCCACTATCTTCTCTGGCAGATGACTTCAGGTAGTTACAGGAACTGATGAAATTGATGACACACAGTTCAGGAGTCACACCATAAACTCCTACATATTTTACGTATGTCAAAATTCTTGAGGATTGCCATTCCGGTCAACAAAGCTCTTATGGAACCTGCTAAGACTGTTTGGCAAACCCCAGCTACTGCACTGCTTATCCGCAAGAAGGTGGATAAAAAGTATTATGTCTCTTCCAGGAAATCATAATTTCTATTTTCTCACCTAGTGCCAAATTCTCTCGTAGTGAAGTCTGTTAATGAATGGGGCAAACAATATAGCTCAAAGTCCACCCCGTACAGCAAGGACCACAAGAAGTGCTATCTTTTTGGCCATAAATCTTCAGCCACACTTCACTTTAGAATAGTAAACCATCAGGTGCTCATGGTGAAGTATGCCTATTTGAATTGCAACAAATTTAATTCCTTTATTGATCATCTGCCAGAGAAACATTGTGACCAATTTAAGGTAATTATTCAAGAGGGTTAGCTCCTAGCAAAGACATTGCTCCAGGTCTCCTTGGATGCTTCAGATACTCCAGCACAGTCTGAGAAAAATGTCTTGGGCTGCGCTGTAAGGCTTCCCAGGAGAGGTCCAGAGTACTATTGAGGACCTTCCCTTTGATATTCACAAGCTCTTTGCAGACTCAATGGGTACATCTTTCCACATTTTAAAGGACTTGAAAGCCATGCTGAGATCCTGATTTATACGTCTGTAAATAAGAGGAGATTTAGTAGGTCTCAGAGCGCACAAAGATCACGCCCAGCCCTCAATTCAACTTACCATAGATCATCTGAGCCCCTGGCCAGGAAACCAAGATTTGTGACTCTTGACCTACAAGACACATTTTCATGTCGCTATTCACCTTTCACATAAGAGGTTTCTTCATTTTCTGATCAACAACAAACACTTACTAATATCACATGCTCCCTTTCAGGCTATCTTCTGCTCCAGGTTATTCTCAAAGATTCTGGTGATAGTTGCCACCCACCTACGTCTTCTGGGTCATTTCCCCGTATCTGAATGATTTGTTGATTGGGGCAGAACTTATCAGGAAGTGTTGGTGGCTGTAAAGATGACGTGTTCTCTGTTCCACAGCCTGGGCCTTCAACTCAGCCTCAAAGTCTGTTTTGACTCCAGTACAGTATCTAGACATCATAGGAGCTTGCCTGGATGCAGTGACAGGCAGAACATGCGTCTCTTCCAGCAGCTATCTCGTGCTGAGTCTTATCTCAAGGATTCATGGCAGTCCTCAAGTAACAGTAAGAGATTGTCATTGACTGCTGGGACACACGTCAGCTTGTGTCTTTGTAGTGCAACGTGCCAGATTACACTTCCGAGGTCTCCCTGGATGGCTTTGAATGGTTTACAAATCAAGCAAGCACATTCTAGGCAGGTTAGTGTCTGTTCCCCAGTGGGTTCTGTGGTCACTCAACAGATTGAAGGACCTGACCAAAACCTGTACAGGTGTTGCGTTCTTTTAGCATCCTCCTACCATAATGATAATGCCAGATGCTTCAATGTTGGGTAGTGGGATACATCTGGGACCTCAGAAGATACAGGACAAATTGTCACTACAAGAGCAGCTCCTCCTCCTCATCAATTGTCTGGAATTGAGAGTGGTCAAAAAGATAATGACAGGCAATGTGGAATACACATACTATATCAATCGTCAGGGAGCATCACATGCCCCATCTCTGTGCTGAAGTGATCAAAACTCTGGCATTGGTGCATAGCCAACCAGATAGTCATTGCAGTTTCTTTCCTCCCTGATAATCAGAATACCATGGCAGATGACCTCAGCAAAGATTTCTTCCTGAATTACCATTGGTAACTGGACTCTTGAGTCCTTGACACAGTATTCATAGCTTGAGGGTTCCCAGAGGTTGATCTGTTTGGAACAGCAGCCAATGCAAAATGCATCAAGTATTGCTCCAGAGGGGTCTCAGTCCCTAGCCCATAGGAGACACTTTTTTCATTTCATGGACAAGGGGTCTTCTCTATGCTTATCCATTGACACCGTTATTGTTGAAGGTTCTCAACAAGATCAGGCCAGGTTGATAGTGCTTGCACCAGTGTGACTGAGACAAGTTTGGGATCCCTGTCTAAATAGACACAACTGTTGTTCTCCATAGCATCTTCCAGTCATTTCTCGTCTGCTGACTCAGTATGCTGGTTAAACACTTCACCCCAACCTGCAGATTCTGAGGCTTCAAGTATGGTTCCTCAAAGGTTCTCTGAAGTAGAGATATCCTGTTCATCAGAAGTACAACATGTTTTATTAGATCAGTTTTCTTCATTGCAGGGCCCGCGAGCCAGTGGTGGCTCCCATCGACCCCAAATGAGGCTGACTAAGTTCCCTCTAAGCTGTGCGGCCGCACAGCAGGCTATAAATAGCCATGCAGCAGGGACCTTGAGAGGAGAGAGGTAGGGTGTGGGCGGAACTGCGGAGGGAGCAAGTTGTGGCTTGCAGGGTTGCTGTGGGGCTCTCCCCCCAGCCCTAGAGCTCCGTGCTGCTGCAGGGGTGAGAGGGGCCCTTCCCCAGGAGTTCCGTGCTGCCTGCTGGCAGGGGGGAGAGAGGATCCCTTCCCCTGGAGCTCCATGCTGCCTGCTGGCAGGGAGAGAGAGGCCCCAGCCCTGAGCCCCCTCCTGCACCCTAAATCCCTCATCCCTGGCTGCAGCCCCCTCCCACATCTCAAACCCCTCATCCGCAGCTCCATTCTAGAGCCCTCACCCCCAGCCAGTGGGGTGAAAAGAAAACAGAGGAACATATGGTCCAATGAACATTTGGACAGCCTTACTAGGATTGCGATGACAGATTACAAATACTGCATGAACAAAGTCAAGGAGGAACAGGCACACTTTTGCTCATCCAGTTTTTAAAGTAAGTTTTGCATTATTCTGCTCTCAAAAAGTTTACTTGCATAGGTGCCTTTTTAATTCCATATATTTTTCTGGTTATTATTTTTATAAAAGGAGTATTGTTTTATTGTGCAAGTAGACTTTGTTTTAGTTACGAGTGGCTCTGTAACATTACATCATTAAGGTTAGTGAGCAGTGTGTTAATTTAGTAGTTGATGTGGCTCTTACATTGAAGGTTTTTTGCTAAAGTGGCCCCCACTTCAAAAATAGTGAAGAGCACTGTATTAGATAGTAGAAAAAATCTACAAGAAATACTTACTTCCTGAAATGAAAATATCATCTTCGGTGTAACATTCAGATCTCACGGACTCACTCTTCTCTTCCCATGGTATTTTGATTACCTGTTGGAATTGAAAACATCAGGATTTTCTGTGAATTCCATTAGGGTCCACTTAGCTTCAATAACAGCTTTTCACTTTATCCATAGGGTTTTTTTACCAGTCTTCACTCGCCCAATCATGGCAAGATTCCTAAGAGGTCTATTGGATCTCTCCCCTCAAATCAGAGATATTATTTCCAGCTGGGACCTGAACCTAGTTCTTAATTGCCTCATGAAACAGCCTTTTGAGCCACTAGCTGTGTGTTCTTTATTAAATTTATCAGTTAAGACAACTTTCCTGGTGGTCATCATGTCTGCCTTCAGGGTTGGAGAACTGAGGGCTTTAATGGCAGACTCCCCATTTATGGTATTCACCAGAGACAAAGTGTGCTGCAGCCCCTTTCAAAATTTTTACCTAAGGTGTCATCAGAATTTCATATTAAACTATTTATCTCCTCTTTCCCCCCACTCCCCTGCCAAACCACATTGATGTCAGGAAGCTATATTCTATATCCTAAATGTTAGGAGGGTATTAGCCTTTTATCTAGCTAGGACCAGGCTGTTTAGATCTAGATTGCTTGTATCCATTGCAGACAGAAACAGGGGATTGGTAATTTTGAAACAGAAGGTTATCAGAATGGATCTCCAGCTGTATTAAGGTCTGTTACAACCAAACTCAGGTTCAGTCTCCTTCAGGAATGATAGCACATTCCATAAGAGCACTATATAAAATCCGTAGCCTTACTTAAAGTCATACCAGTTGCAGAGATCTGTAGAGCATCAACATAGTCCTCTGTTCATACTTTTTCTAACCATTATGCCTTCATTCGTGCTGCAAGATCAGATGCTGCAGTAGGCAATGCAGTTCTTTCCTCTGCTCTTAACCTCCTGCCTCCTTAGGGGGTGCTGCTTGGGAGTCACCTGAAGAGGAGCACTCAGAGGGACGCTAATTGAAGGAGGAGAGGTTGTTCACCCTGTGCAGTAACTGGAGTTCTTTGAGATGTGTGTTTCTGTAAGTACTCCACTACCTGCCCTCCTTCCTTTCTGCTTTGGAGTCTCCCTGGTGGGACTTTATGGTGGAGAAGTAACTGAGGGTGATTCACTTGTGCAGCCCCATATAACTTGAGTGTGGGGCAGAAGGATGTGTACGACGCATGTGCGGGCTGAACGGGCATTGCCATCAAAATTTCCAGTCAAAGGTGCAGGGCACAGGCACACCTGACGTAGAGCATCCACAGGGACACACATCTGGAAGAACTTCAGTTACTGCACAAGGTGAATAACCTCCTCTTATTTGATGATGGGGGAAAAATGGGTAATTGCCCTGTTTTGCTTTTTTATGATCTGTAGAGGCCTGAAATTTAACAATGTGTAAGAGCCTGATGCTTTTTGTTCCTCTCTTTAGAGATATCAGGAATGTCGAATCTCACCTTCCCTGTTTTCCCAGAGGCTTCCTTTGGAGGCCCCTGAGAAGTAAATTAGGCGATTTCTTGGCTGTTTATCTAATGTGTGAGTTAAATAGGTGTTTGGTTTTTGTTTTCTTAACCTGAATAAAAATCACTTCCTCTTAAGTAATAAGGTTTTGCTTCCTTGATATCTGTGGTGTCATAAAATCACCAGTTCTCCAGTTGTCCATAGTGTCTTACAGGGGGAAAAAAAACAGCATAGAGAACACTTGAATTTATAATATAAAAAACAGGAAAAGAAAACGGGGATGAGGTTAGCATTGGGGAGGAGAAACTTCTCCGGCCTTCTTTATACATCATGAAGAAACAGGAAATCACACAAGCCCATTTTTCTTCAGAAACTAGCTTCCAAGCTTTGTTTATGCTAAGCTCTGATGCTTTTATTATGTATAATGTAATGAAACATACTATAATATTTCTACAGATTCTTACATTTGAAAAGAGTGTAGAAATGTGCGAACCTTTGAATTTTGACCTGTTCAAATTACCTTTAGTTTAATATTAAAAAGATATATCCCTTGAAGGAGATTGTGCCCTTTTGATACCTTTGAATTTTGAAATCCAGTTTCCATTCTACAGAATGTAGATAAATACAAAATAAAGGGAAATATTCTATGTACTTAAATTGTGGATTAAATAAACTCTCATTCTTTTAAAATCATAATGGAAGCTTTTTTTATTGTTGCTTATTTTAAGATATTGCACAATTATTTGACTATTTTGTGGAAAGCATCAGCTTAATATACCTGTCCATTTTTTTTATGACTGTAAATAATTGACATGTTCAAACAGCTTTTATCATACTTAATTACAGTATTGGCTAGGCAAATACTGTAATTAAAGTATGAGAAGGTGATATTCTCTTATCAGCCTCAGAATATTCTCAACATTTTCTCAAATATTTTTTTTTAAGGAAAAATCTCCAGAACAGTTTTGTCGAATGGTGCGAACGTTACCTCCATTGGGAGAAGGCTCCCTAAAACCTTCTTTACGTGCTGCCAGCAACACTGTCCCACTCAATTTACCCACAACAAACCATCCTGATGTAACGGAAGCGAATACAAATAAAGCCATTGAATCAACTGTGGACTGCGAAACAGGTAAAACATGATGTTTCTGTTCATTGTTGTCTTCCAAGCGCTACATATATACTGTTTGTACTTTTGTGAGAGAAGCACTCATTTGAAGAAGGGATCTTCACAACTTGCGACTGAGCACTACACCTGTGTCTCAACCCAGTGTTGGCTGGTCAGACTCAGAGAGCACAAAAACAAGGGCTGGGAAGTAGTGCCTATGCTAGGCTGGGGAATCTGTTCCTCCCCAGCCCTTTTGTGGAAAAGATGTTTAAGGATTTCATGGGGGGGCTAATTGAAAGAAAAAACAACTGCTATTGTTTATGTATAGTTCCTGCTAGCTAAAGACCTCAAACATACATGAGTTTAGCCTCACAACAGCCCTGTAAAGTATTGTTACCCTCATTTTATAAATAAGGAAACCGCAGCACGGAGTGATTAAGTGACTTGTCCAAGACATTACATGTGTCTGTGGCAGAACTAGGAAGAGAACCTGGGTCTTTCCCAATTCTGTACCTTAATCACAAGACTCTTTCTTCCTTGGAAGTACAATATTACTAAAAGGCTCACCCAAAAGGAACTTTGCTCCAGATGCCTCTTTTGCATTGAAAATCTGCAAATACAAGCTGAGACCTGCAATGCCCTGGGATGCATTGGTCTGCTAGACTTCATCCTAGTCTTAACCTAAACTCATGTGGAGGAGCTGCCATCTGGGGTTAGGGGTTGGGGCATGTCTGGGAGCTAAGGCTATAAGGATAATAATATGTATATATAATGTATAATATAATGTATAAGGATAATAATACTTCCCTACCACTTAAGGGTGATGTTTGGCTTGCTATATATCACCTGCTCCAATTTATTGTACTTATTTTTTATACTTTTTATTTTCTTGTTTTATTTTTAAGAGGATCGGAAGCAGGAAAAAGATAAACCTGAAGAAAGTACCACAGAGGAAGATTCAGATAAGGAAAGTGATGACAGAAGCCTTGGAAACACAACTGATGTTCTAAATATGGTAAAATACCTACTACTAAAATTGTGGCTTAGCAATCATTTTGAGGGAGAACATAGCAGTAAAATTGTTTGTATTATGGCTGTAATAAAAGTAGTCACCACACCTTGGTACCTCCAAGTTCTTGGGGCTCCCTTTATGCCAGCACAGACCCCAGTCTGGGGCATCTGTTACTACAAGGACCACAATCCCTTTATGTCCTTGGCATGTTTGCGTTAGTGGACTCCACCTCTTTGTTTTCCTCCTCAGAGAATAGGACCTTTCATGTCTCCCAGGATGGACAATTGGCATTTGTTCCTTGAATATTAAAAATTACATCCAAATTATAATTGTGTTTAAACCAGATGCCATTCATTCAAGAAAGAGAGAGAGGAAATAGATAAAAACAAAAAATAAAATGGTAGCATGAACTTTATTCTCATCTAAGCAAGAACTGCACAGAGCCCTGCTAAAATGTACTAGCCATCTTAGTTGCAAAGGCTGAAGGTTGGTAGTGATAATCATACTTACTGGTGTCTATATGTGAACCTCTTGCTTTTTCTTTTTCCTAATTGATTCATCATAGGAGCCTGTCATGGGGTGTGGCCCTCATAGCCAGACTGCCACCTCCTCCCAGTCGTGCTGGGGATTAGCTCAAGGCCAACACCCACGTCCCCACCCAGACCTGCACACTGGCAATCTGTCTCTGCTCCCACATACGGCTCCTCTCTTTGCTTCCAGACCTGCAGCATCCTCTTTGCAACTCAGCCCTCCATCCATGTCACCATCTGGGTTTCCCCCTTCTGGTGTGGGGGAGGTGTTGCAGGTTGGGTATCTCTGTCCAACAGTCCAGCCACTTCCCCAGTGGCAAGTGAGGGGGACAGGAGCCTGCTCACTACTCCAGGCCCCAATCCAGGAATCTGATAAATAGCAGCTTCCTGCTGCTCCACTGTAACCTCTGTCAATGTTGCTCTATTTCCCTGGTCAACTTCCCCATGGTTCCAGCACTTCCTTCACCCTCACCTCAGGGCACTCAACTGCTCAGTCCCAGTAGCCAGCCACTGCTCTGTCCAAGGTGCTTACAGTTCTCTCAGCCTTCCAGGGATGCAGTCCTTACTCCCTGGGCTCCCAGCAGCAACTGCCCCTATTCTGTCCTGCAGCTCTTTTTTTATCTGAGCCTGCCAGGCCTGGATTGGTTGCTCCCAGCAACTCCTCCCTGATTGGCTGTGCTTCATGCAGCCTCTCTGGGCCACTCCGAAGACACCTCCATTGTTTCATCTGTGGCAGGGCCTGGTTAACCCCTTCTATGCCTGTGTGGGGTAGGCACCCCATTACAGCACTCATCAGGCTGTTGCTTTTGCATATATCTGAAAAATTTTGTGTCCCTGATGACAGGAAGAAACTGTTTTATAGTCAGCCCGTCATTCTTTTTGTTCAAACACCCGCACCTGATCAAGACACCTAGCCATCCCTGTTTTACCAGGACAGTCTTGGTTTTTCACATGAGGTCCCTTAATCCTGAGGACTACTATAGAGATGCTTGAAATGTGCTGACCTCTTATTTCATCATTGAAAATATTTGGATATTTTTTTTATTACAAAAAGTTTGTTCAAGTGGTATTGGTATAAAATATTTTGTGTACCACTAATTCTCATCACACAGTGAGTGTTTCATGCTGCCATTGTTCAGGGCTGCAGCTTGTTATAATTTGTCATGTGACTACATTACTATGCAAAGGGAAGACAGAGGATTCTACCTTTTTTTTTTAATATGCTCCTGGCACAGCTTTTTTGATACAGGTGGAGGAGATTAAAGAAAGGATCCCAAATTTGAGCATTTGAGTATTTCACAACCCTAAAACATGTTGCCATAATAGTTTTGGGGGGGTTTTAAAATAATTTTTAATGTATCACCTACATATCTTTGCCTATCCTATCCAGGCACACTAGAACATGTCCCAGCCCCATCCATTGTTTAGGAATTGGTGAATCCAGATCAGCATTATGGAGAGGCAATAGTGTAGTTTTTTTTTACTTCAGGGGACTTAAGCATATGTTTAAGTGCTGGGCTGAATTGGTGCCATAGTGAACATACTGTATCTATGTTCCTAAATGTGCTTTGGTTGATGCAGTACTTTGCAGGAGCCATTATTAGTTTGGCCAGAGTTCCTTGCTAATTTAATCATTTAAAATTTTTAAAAAAGTCTAGTCATTTACATACAAAAAAAGAAAAAATATTTAAAAAATAAAATAATTTTTCCCCCAATAGTGCTCCATAGATAATATTTTGGGAATTTCTTCTGTAAAGCAAATTAGATATAGTAGCACGGGAATAAGAGAGAGAGGTTTACTTTTTTTTAAAATATACCATATTTGTAAAAGAATGGTGAAAATACTCCATACATATTTGGTGTAAAAATTGCCAAATATACAAATTAAAATAGGTCTTGAAGAATTTACTGACACATGAAGAAATCTCTTTAAACTATCTTGCATTCATCATGCACTGTCTGTATGCCAGACATATTTTCACTTTTTTTTTTTTTTTTTTGTATACTGGGTTATGAACAAATTCAGAAATACCTTTCTGTTAAGAGACTGATATAGAAGTAGTAGAAATATATTTTTAAATAGCGTTTTGAAAAGATATCTGTTTCAGGAAAATGTATCAAGATGGAAATAGAAACGATTATTCTTCCTGGTGCTAAATTATCTGTTTACAGCACCAGCTACTCCAATTCTAAATGGCAGCAGTGACTGTTTTTTGTGGGCCCCAAAGGCATGAAAAGCCTTGGTGGTGTTTTTTTGATGGCGTTAGTAGAAAGGATATGTGGGTATTTATATTTTTAAAAAGCTCTCTTAGAAACTAAAATGTTGTTGGTTCAGGGGAAAATCAGCAGTTCTGTACATGGTTCTGATCATAGGATTAGGTGTTAGTTACTGTTATTCAATTGGAGATTGATCTTCTTGCAGCGGTGACAGATTTCCTTTCTAAAAGAGAATTGATTGTGACCATGGGAGAAAATGAGGATCCCCCCCTTTTCATATTTAAGTAAAAAAGGCACTACACTAGTGGTCATACATCTGTGATGCATGGAGGGTGGCTTCAAAGTATACTTATAGTTGGTTACAGAATGGTGAACTGTTGGTTCATTAAAAGCTGAATTGAACTGTTTGCTAAAAATGGTAATTTTGCAGTCTCTTTCCTCAAGCTGTGTGCATAGTGGTATTAAGATGTTCACATATTTCATGATACCATGCTGTGGGCTGTTTTGGACCCTGACACTACCTCAGTTTCCCCGTGTGGTGTTCTCAGAAGTGCATTGTGACTCTTGGAAATCAAATAAATGTGGGGGTTAATTTGTAAAACATCACAGCTGAAATTGCAGCTTTCATCTTAAATGAAAACACGTCTTTCCCTGACTCGACAATTTCTTCAGATCCTTGTTGGGCTCAACAGTTCTTTTGCAAAACCCAGGTCTTGCTGCCTGGCATTTCTTCACGCCTTTTCCTCTTAAGGATTCTGCCCCTCCCCTTATTGCATCCAGCTCCAGCCTGGTGGCTGGTGTGAAGAGACCCTCCTCTGGTAGTCTTTGATCTTGTATCTCCTGCAGGACCTTTTTGCTCCCTGCAAGATCTCCCTCAACTGAGCTGCTTGCTGGCCTTTTATCTGAGGCTATCACCTGATCCCTGCCTTCAAACTGTTCTCTTGGGAGGCCGCTAATTAGTCTCAGGTAACACCAAGCCTTCATCTTCCCTAAAGGTCCATGCTGCCCTGTGACACATACCATACATATCAGGTTAGACGCAATCATTAAGCTTCATGTTAGTGACTGTTTGAACACAAGAAACTTTGGCTTATTAGGGCTTCTGTTCCATTAAACGATATTATCTCAGAAATTGCTATCTTACTACTGTCTGCAAGACAGTGTGGTGGTATAAGCTCCCATAGATCAATCTTTATTCTTCTTTTAGCGTGCATTAGAATTTTGAATGCTTGCGAAATTAATATCCTATTCTGTAGTTTCTTAGATGTATAGGACTTGAATGTTTCCTGGCCAAGATTTTAAAAAGTGTATGTCTGAAATTAGGCTCCGAAGTCTATATCTAGGCACATAAGTCAGTGGCCTGAATTTTCAAATATGCTTAGCATCCAGGAATTCATAGTGAAAAACAGTGGGAGCTGTGTTGTGCTCAAGACATTTAAAATTAAGCCACTGATTTGGAAGCCTAATTTTAGGCACCCATTTTTTTTTAAATACAAAAAAGTGTCCCCTCTATCCTAAGATCACCTGAATGAGCCCAGTGTGAATATACTGGAGACCTCTTAAATGTCATCTTGTAGCTTATTATTTTTAAATGGTGTGATGGATTTAGTATATTGATAATTGAACAATAGAATACATTTATTCACAGCAGTTTTAATTACAATTTAATTGACAGGGTTAATGTTTTGGGAAATGTTTTAGATCCTCTGAAGAAACGTATTAAATGTAAATAAGGTATCATTCTTATTCATTAATTTACATTTCATTCTTTAATTTGTATCCTCATTCTTTTCAGACACACATGATGAGACTGAATCCCAGTGACCAGTCCTTAAAATTAACACCAGTTCAAAAACAAAAGGTACTGTAATTAATCATGTTTGAAATGTAGAAAATGTATAACTCTCTTCATAGGGCGCCGTCTTTTTTTCCTTTCTCTCTTTCGCTCCTAACTCTCATAAAGTAAACCTCAATTTCCATAGACTACTTCCTACATTAAATGTTTAGGCCTGGATCCTGCAAACGGCTCCACTTGGTAGAACCCTGAGCTTGCAAGGAAATCACTGGGGCTCTGTGCAGATGCAGGGATCTGTCTGCTTGGAGCAGTTTGAGATGAGACATTATAATATTACTGCAATTGAAGGGGCAGTATACTATAACTTACATTATACATTTGTAACATATAGTAATGATAATTTGCCATTTACTTGATTGCTGATACTAGAATATTTGGATTAAAATCCAGGTCAAAATATATGTAAAGTAACCATGTTTACAAAATGCTGGATGTAATTTTACAGTAAAATGTAATGATTCACTGGGCAATAATACTTTTATCAGATTATAAAGTTGAGACTTCTGTATTACCATCCTGTATTAATTTTAAAGTGATAACTGAATTTTGATATTAGGGGTACATCAATATCAGCTCATAATCTTATATTTCAAAATTGATTACACAAAATATGATTGATAAATGGAGTATATAAAAAGAAAAATTTAAATTTAAGCCAAAAAAGACAAAGTAGCTTTAGGTCAATAGTAAATACATTGACCATGGAATAGGGAGAGTGCATTTAACCTACTCAATAAGTGTTTCATTCTTTAAACATTATGTATTGTTTAAATTAATTTTATTTGGAATATTCCGTATTTTATGCCATTTTTTTAGTCTTATCAAACAAATCTTTTCAGATGTGTCTATAGTCTTTTCCATTTGTTCTCATTTAATTTGTTCTTAATGCTTTCCTTCTTTCTTTTTAATTTTCTGCTTTTCATGTGGAATAGAAGAACAATAAAAATGTGAAACTGAAAAGTGATGGTAAGGGTGGGTTGAAAAAGACTAATCTTAATTTCATGCAGGAGGGTTCAAAATCAACTGATGGTTCTTTGCAAAAGCAGTCTTTAAATTCAGTGTCTCATGGAAATGGTTCAGATCTAGAATGCCGTGATTATGATGCCTTTGTGGGGAAAATTAAGGCTAATAACAGGTATATAAAAGATAAACTAGAACAGGCATATACTATTAGCAAATTGAAGTCTGATGTTCAGCAAACTGTTAAACATCAACTCAAATTAGTGAAAAGGAAGAAAGACTATGCAGGAAATCTTAAACCTAGAATACAAGACACATCTTATGGTCTCTCCAGTGATAAGACTAAAGAATTATTTTTTTCCACTGAAAAATTAAAAAAAGCTATTAAATCTAAGCACCCCCCTAAAACAGATGTACTGACTTCTGCAGCGAGTAACAAACCAGTGACCATTTCAGTAACTGCACAAAAACCAAAACCTGGTAAACGAGAAAGTAAAGATGCAGTGGATGAAGTTAGGACATCTGACAAATATGGAGAAATATATGTCAGAGGGGAAGAAAGTAATGAAGAACAGAGAGAACTTAAGAAAAAGGAGAAATTCATTAAACAAATAGCAGTAACTGTGTCATCATCTTCAAGTGAGGAAAGTAGTAATGATTTTGCGAAATATGTACTTCAAAGGAGAAGAATGCGCAAGGATCGTTATAAAGACACAGGAACCCAGAAGAAAATAGAAGCAGTAGAAAATGTGAATGATTTAGAAGAAAGAGATGCTGAGACAGAAGAAGAGCAAGATACAAATAAACAAAGAGAGAGTGCAGAAGAGACCAATATGAAAAGCGTGAGTGAAGAGGAAACAAAAGTGAAAAAGTTTGATGATAAACCTGATGAGGCCCCACAGCAAGATGCTAAGAATGAAGAATTTAATCAGGCAGAGAAGAGTGAAGAAAGTGAAATGGGAATGAAAGAGGGTGAAAGTGAAAAGGAGAACCAAGATGAAAACCCTAATAGTGAAGTAGAATCTGGAGAGGAGGAAGATGAAAATGAGGTTAGAAAAGATGATGATGATACCTCAATAGTAAGCGATGGAGATGAAGAGGAGAAAGGTAATGGAGAAGAAAGTGAAAAATCTGAAGCACAGTATGAAGCGGAAGGTGATCATGAGAGAAAGGCAAAGGCTGAAGAGAATCATCACAGAAGAGGCACAGAGGAGAGAAGTCAAGAGTGTAATTTTAAAGAGGAAGAAACAGTGGGCAAGAGAGAAGAGGAGAAGAGAGATGAGTCAGTAGGAGGAAAGGAGGGTAAATGTAAGGAGGAGCAGAGTGAAGACACAGAAGTGGAGGCTGAGAGTGAGGGTGGAGAGGAGGATGAAGAGGATGAAGACAGTGAAAGGGAGGAAGAGGGAGGTGAAGGCGAGGGAGAGGAGGAGGATGAGGAAGAGGGGGAGGATGGGGAGGGAGAGGAGGAGGATGAGGAGGAGGAAGAGGGGGATGAGGAGGAGGAAGAGGGGGATGAAGAGGGGGAGGAGGGGGAGGAGGATGAGGAGGGGGAGGGGGAAGATGAGGGGGAGGAGGATGAAGAGGGGGAAGATGAGGGGGAGGGGGAAGATGAGGAGGATGAGGAGGGGGAGGGGGAGGGGGAAGATGAGGAGGTGGAGGGGGAGGGGGAGGGAGGAGGGGGAGGGGGAGGGGGAGGAGGGGGAGGAGGAGGAGGAGATGGAGGGGGAGGGGGAAGATGAGGGGGAGGGGGAGGGGGAGGGGGAAGATGATGAGGGGGAGGAAGGAGAGGGAGAAGATGAGGGGGAAGAAGGGGAGGAAGAGGAGAATGTTGGAGAAAAAATCAAAGAAAATAAGCCTCTGCAAAGGCATAATAAAAACAGAAAGCAGGAGAAGAAAGAAAGTGCAGTACAGAGCTCTAAACAGAAAGTAAGGACTAAACAACATGTAGTGAATGGATTACACAATTCAGAACAATTTTGGAACAATGTGCTACCTCATTATTTGACACTAAAATAGTACAGGATGCTGGAGATTTACTTTAAACAGATTCATTCAGGATATTGTTGTGCCATACCAAGTTTATTTAGCTATAATACTTTTTTTTAAAGTGATTTTTTTAAAAAAATTAATCACAATAAATGTATTATATTAACATCAAGTGCCAGTTTCCTAAAGGGCTACAGAAAACATTTAAGAGTTTGGTGACCTTTATCAGACCAAATTATCAGATATAAATTCTGGTGAAATCACTTTCATCTTTACTGTGTACAACACTATTACAGATGCAGAAAGTGATTCCCTGAGACAAAGCATTTGCTTGACACAAATTTTGTCATAATTTTAGGATGATGGCATGTATTATGTCTTGTAACAATGTAATTTTAATTGCCTTTTTAATCAGATTTCTGGAGCTGAAGCATTTAATTTTGATTATGGGGTAACTAACATGTTGATGTGCCTTATATGAATGGAATATCAATAAATCATAAAAATTCAATTTTGAGAAATATATCAACAGTGTTCTTTTCCTTTTAATTTCTAGTAGGCCAATGTATTCATTTGTTCTTATAGACAAATAGTTTGTTAGAAAATTCCAGATAAGTCCAAGAAAAGACAGTGCCAGTATGTGGTCAGTACTTGGTTTCTGTAAACTGAGGCCTTGATGTTTCAAAAGGACTTCAGCTTAGTCTCTGATTCTAGTGCCAACATGCAATTGTGTGCTAAAAAATATGATCACAAAATCAGGGGCCTCTGAAAATCTGAACCCAAATGTATTGTGGTTAAAGTATATCCAGTTAGTGATAACAAAACTATGTAATTATTAGAGGCAATTCACCTCAGATCCATACAGAGCCATGAAATGTTTCTTCATTCTTATTTACTTGTTGAGCACTGTTAATGTACTCTGTGCCATACATTACAGAGAAGACATGGTCCCTGCCTCATAGAGCGCATCAGATAGGCACCCAATAACCCTAGGTAACAAAGGACTGGGAATTTGGATCACAAAGGTCTTGATCCTGCAAACACACAAATGCTTAATTTTACTGCCATGAGTAATCCCAAGTGGGACTACTCACAGTACTAAAATAAAGCATGTGGGTACTGTTTGCAGGATCGGGGCCTAAGTGATGAAAGGAAGATGTAGTAAATCAAGAATCTAGATGAAATAGAATGGAAATTGCCATAAAAGATCAGGATGGCTGAAAAGACAATTTTTGGAATTTCTAAAAGATTTGGTGTTCCCCTAAACTCTAAATAATCATAGTTCCCCTTTTTTCAATTTTTGAAACTCTTAGCAAATAATTTTTAAAGGATTTGCACTATGTTTGTAATGGTGTGTCTGGTGAGGGGAAGGGAAAAATAGGTGGTTTTGTCATCCAGCATTTTCCTTAGTACTTGCGTACCATATTGGTGGCCACTATAGGAAACCCTAAAGTAGACAAATCTCTGTTAACCAACCTGAGTGGTCTTGACAGTCTCTGAAGAGAGTTCCTTCAATCTCTCTTTCAAAATGAGGATAAGAGGAGGAAGAGGAAATCAAAATGCATGGGGGAGGGGCGTGGGATTAACAGATGTCAAGCAGTAAAAATGTTAATTAGCACTTGTATTGTGGTTATGAAACATTTTTTTAAAAATTTTGTTTTGTAACATCTTGGTATTAAAATATTTTAATTCGTTGTCTCCAGATTTATTTCCAAAAAAGGCTGTAGTAATTTAGTAATAAGAACAGGCATACTGGGTCAGACCAAAGGTCCATCTAGCCCAGTATCCTGTCTTCCGACAATGGCCAATGCCAGGTGCCCCAGAGGGAATTAACAGAACAGGTAACCATCAACTGATCCATTCCCTGTTGCCCATTCCCAGCTTCTGGCAAACAGAGGCTAGGGACACATCCCTGCCATTCTGGCTAATAGCCATTGATTGACCTATCCTCCATGAAAATTACCAAACGCCAATAGATCTTGATCAGCTATACTATTTGTTCTCCTGTTTTTCAGTCAGTCACTCATTCCTTTTCACAAGCTTCAGAAGATATTTTCACT